ATATTCTACAACAGATCATCAGATACTGATCGAATGTGCAGTTTGGCACAGGTCATCAGATAGGATAGGGAAGGATTGGGCCGATTTACATGTCCGGACAACCGATTGGGGATTCTCCATAAAGTGTCACTATATTTTGCATCAAATAATCACTGGAAATACGTCAAAAGTAGGCGATGACGTCAATATATACCTTTATGACGTCATACTTTACTATTTCTCTGGAAACTGTCATGACATGACCATGTTTGAGGACATTTACACCCGAGCTGGTTATCTTCAAAGTTAGTCAGGGTCATCTAATTCAACAGATTTGATAGTTTGTCATTCCTTCAAGTTACTATCAAAATGTAACAAATCTAGACCTATTCATGGTTAACCCATTTAACCCATGCGAACAAAAGGTATCTCAATGTCATTTATTGCAACAAACTTGATAGTCCTCCTAACTAGCAAGAGGCAAGACAAATACCATATGACTCTTTGCCGCCTACTTATTCAGAAAAAAATCTTTGAAAGATTTTAACACGTTTGAAACTGGGGACCTTGAAAATAACTAATGGTCAAACTGAGCCCTCGCTCACAGAATGCTCCTGGCCAAATATTTCCCCGTATGCATAGATATAGGTTGATCTAGTTTTGATGCTCAGCAGGGTAGGAAAGTAAGATTAAAATTATTTCGATTCTTATAATTCTGTTTTTTTTTTTTATCAAATAGGTGAACCAAGAATCCTAATTCTAGCACACAGTCTTATTTATTCTATTGAACAAACAATTCACTGAGCTAGGAATTGAATACAAAAAACCGCGGCCGGTACGAGACCTACGATACGATACGTATCACGATATAAATATCTGCTAAATATGCCAACTTTATAATGATTGAGCGCAATTCAATCGAGTTTGGTCATAGACTTCAATAGTTAAAATGTGTGTACTATCAAAATACATTTTTGAATACTTTCTAAAACTTTTGGGTTTGACTACACATGTCGTTTACTAGCTGCGATAACGTAGCTTTCTGACGACGAGAGCATTTTTTTATATATGGGCAGAGGAGGCCGGGTATTAATATTAGTACTAGTCGTTTACCACATCTTTACCGAAGGATTCAACAAATATAAGTACTTTTTTTAAGAGTTTGATCAAAATCGATTGACAATTTAAGTACTGTAAGTGTATCTCGATACAGGCAAACAAAATAATATCGATATGATATCCAAGAAAGTATCGCGATACGATACGATATATCGTTGCAGCCCTGCAGTGTACAGTGTAAGGCAGCCTTTCTGATAACCCGTAGATAAAACTGTTCTGACGTGCACTAGCTTGTTTTCACGAGAAAATCCAAGTGTGCAAAATGACATTATCAAAAGTTCATTTCGAAAGTGTCTTTCGAGAGTGAAAATCTTAGATTTCAAAGATTAATTATTTTTAATTAATGGTTTGATTTTAATGTTTATCTACTAGAACATTTTCTTCTACAGAAAAATCGGAAGTTTTTTGTAGCTGTGAATTGATACAGAATAATATATTCACAGGTCTTCATACAGGCGTTTCCTAGGTCCGTTATACTAAGCATATTTATTTAAACAGAAAGAAAAAAAAAACCGTATTCAAACAAATATGAAATTATAAATTTTGTAGAAAGACATTTTCTCCGTCCTTTTGCATCCTAACACCATAAAGACTAGATTTAGACACCATTTACATTGGAGATCTAGCCGAGAGAATTGTGCTGAGGGGAGGGGGTGAAAATTACACGTCTTAGATGTATAACATGGCATCGTAAACTGTAAACATATAGAATAGAGTTTATCCACAACAAATGTGAAAATAAACAAAGTAAAACAGCAGGCTACATTTCTATTCCGTATTCATGTACTGCTTAGACTTCAGAGAGAAAATATAAAACTGAATGTGAAATCTATTACAGTCAATGCGCACAGAGAACAGTTGATTTATTTCCAGTCTCGCAAGATCACAGTTTTATTTACTGGATTTAGGCTTTAAAACATGTTTTAATGATCCTTGAATCAAGCAAAAAATGTAACTATGCGTTGGAAATATTTACCCTGTATGATAATAGCATTGATAGATAATCCATTGCCAAAAAGAAAAACATCCTTTCCAAAACATGCGTGAAAAAATACTACAGATTAAAAAACAAGAACGAATGCACTACAGTGATTCGCACGTGGTAATGCAGTGGGGCTAGACGAGGATTCGAACTCGAGACTCAGACGCTCAAATCCAGGACTGTCACACTAACAAACTGAACCCCCATATCGACACTAATGAACTGTCCTAGTTGCGCTTTTCCCCCTGTGGGCACGTAAGGGTTCCTGTCCCGCTGCTCTGTAGTCGTATATACCGTAACTTCCCCTTTATTTCGTTTTTGATATACCAGTAGCACGTTTGGGCCAGGATACTTCCGTTGATCATGTAGCTCAGTCGGCAGGGGTAATAGTATAACAATCTGAGGTGACAAGTGTTCCAAACCTAATCTGGCCCCTCTGATTACACTGAAACCTCTGTTTTTGATTATATCTTGTGCATAGCTAGCGTACAGGGACTTTGATTCTGCCACGAGAAAATCCAAGGTGCAGAGAAGATTTATAGAGAGCAATAGTTGTAATTCAGAGATGCATTTGATTATGTATCGAAAACTTTCTATATTAAGACGCCCATTAGTTATTAAAAACCATATTTTTTTATGTCTTCTCAATAAATTCTGTTGTATTTTTATCTACTAATGTTACAATATTGTCCATGTGTGTTGATGATATGGAAAATTAATTTCTGTTTTGAAATAAAATGACACGGTGTAATTTTTAAAGCCATAAAAACAGGGAGAGCTTTAAACAATGAAGGCTTAGTTTAAACTATATTTTTTTTTCTGATTGAAATGTCTGAGAAACAAACACTAATGTACTTATACTTAGTCCTTCTTATCATTTTGTTATGGTTAACATGACCTACACAGATAAAAAATATTGCGTTAGATGGTACTGATGAGGACTTAGAAGCACTTATGAGGTATGTAGGCGATGTCAGGCGTCAGTTGTTCGATACATTCCTTAGGATACTGATTTGACAAACTGATAACGTTTGTGATCATACAGTCTTCAAACGCACACTGTGGCTGGAAACAACACAAAAATAAATTGAAAAAGCAACTTCAAGGAAATTAGACACAAAAATACATTAGAAACTGTATTAGGCCCATGGTGTAAATATTTGAAATACAATTATATTAAAATGTAGGTCAGGTCAACCATAACAAAATGATGAGATAAAATATAGCATTCCCTCGGGATAGCCACATGAATGTGAAATTAAAATAAACAATAAAGGTATAAACTATTAAGACGACGTGTCGTAACATGATTGGCCTGGCTTTTTAGTGAATGTCCTTATATTCGTACCCCAAACGGGTTCTTGGCACAGCAATTTCGGCGGTGGCGTGATTTTCCAGAATGAATCAGCTTCAGGTATGTAGCTATGCTTTGAACAAATACATATACTTTAATGTTTTATCTATCCCCTATTGTATTAATCACAATAGACAATTGAAAATATGGTCAACTCTGAATTAAAAACTCAAAAGTTTTTCGTTCTTATTTTCAAAAAACAATTTTTAATTTAATTATAGAGTACAAAAGTGGCTCATTTATGCCTTTAACATATCGATAATACCCACACCATGTGAACAGTCGTCGCTCATTGGTCAGCTAGCTATAGGCGGTCTCGGTGAAGTGGAGCGCACTTGAACTTTCCTTTGATAAGAATTAGCAGCAGTTGACATGTTGCTTTAAAAATACCACAATGTCTTATGGATATATCTTTGATACTTTTTTCTCCAAATAAGTTCAATAACTTTACAAATTTGTTAATTTTTTGTTTGCCAAACTAGCCAGTCGGCATTATCACCTGACTGCAGTGGTATATATAGAGGACGTTTATTGGTGTTCCGTTGAATATCATACATATTTATTTCACGAGCAATGACGAAAGTACATGTATTATGGCAAAATATAACTGCATCAGCAAAGTGCAGAATTTAGTGGCGTAATCGTTGGCGCAACATTCTAATGATTTTTAAATACGATTTCCTTGAAATAAAAATACTACTTATAAAATATAGTTAAATAAAAACCAACTACTTCCTTCTACAGTCAATTAGTTTGCAGCTGTATCACACAAGAACTGCGGCTTTGAATAAAGTAAAAAGAATAAACAAAATCATTTGGATTGGTCAATATGAAACGGATACTGTATTGAAGCTAAATGTTTTATCACATTAATAATTTCTAAGTTTTCATTGGTAAAAATTAAATATATTTATTCATGATCATGTACTGTTTCATTTCCATCGTTACTTAGTTGGAAATACATTTAGCGCTCCTTTTGTGTTTCGAAATCACAATATGATTCAACCTGCAGTAAAGCTAACATTCTTAATCTGTGATGTTGATCGGTGATACTTTGCCAGTAACGCTGCACGATTTTCCTGTATCCATTTACGGAAATTACATGGATCAACGTACAACCCAACGTATGGGATTGACGAAAAAATATGAATTCGCCATGTCTTTCTCCCGAAATGCAACACGAGAACTGTTGGATAACAGGTTTTAATTGTCGAAAATGTACGGCCATCTTGATGGGGTTTCTAACGACACTGTTTGAATGCCTACCAGGTTTAAATATTTGGCCGGTGTATCTTTGATAGCTTGTGATGAACATGATTTAAAAAAGGATTTTGTTTTGAGAATGCGTGCGGGGGGAGGGGATCATGATGTCTTATATTGTTCTTTGGTGACTCTTACAATTTTCTAATGCTCAATGTTCCGTCGACTGTGACGTTGGAATTAATCCTTATACATTTATTCCATTCTCCTAGATTTGCGTTGGGTGTCTGGTAACGCTATACCTCTTAGCTTTCCAAGGCGCAAATGGTCACTTTTGCGACTTGTTCGGGTCATGTTTGCACGACGATGACACGATCGTAAGCGAGAAGGACTACATCTTCGAAAATTTGCACACCCGCGAATTTCTCAGATTGCGGTAAGTTTCATTTAAAACGACGTTTCTCAATTTCACCATTTAATGGTCGAACAAAATATAGCAAAAATCGTCATTTTAAATCCAAAATATTTTGTTTGTTTGTTTATTTTATTTATATATTTTTTATTTCGTATTGTTATTTATTTATTCATTCAAACAACAAGGTATACACTGCAATCTCGATTTTGTATTTGCATTTCTCTCTGTCTGCATAATAATGTCAAGTATTAAACGTTCTTATTTTCTGTATTTTATTATTATTTGTTTAACTCATTTGCTATATATTTTATGTATATTTTCCCTTACAGGTACGAGGCATATAAGGCTTTAAATAACCATTATCTGGCGTTCATATTTATCCGTGCTATCAGCCCACAGTCAAAAGATCTTCTAAGGTAAGTTTACCTGTATATTTCTCTCCCATTCCTTACTGCATCATGTCTATGAACGTATAGTTAGAGGCCATTTTAAAAGGACTTTATTTCAAACGTTTTTTCTCTCTCGATGGGGCCATTAGCTAACAGGGTATTAACGCAAAAGTATGTTTTGTTCTTTTCCCAAATCATCTGATATCTAATAAATATCGATATGGAAAAAACGCTTTCATTATGTTAGACAAAAATGTTATGTTTACTTCAGGTTGTTAACAAGTACTTTCTCTGCAAGCATTATTCATCATTTGGGATATTGACTATTGGCGTCAATTATGTTTACACTTGTACAGAACTATTTTTTGAAAAAAAAGACTGTAAAAATCATCTATAAATGACATGTCTACATTTAACATAGATTTTGTTTGAAGTCTGAAGGATTTTCTTCAGAATTTTTAAATTTTGAATGCACTTCTATGATACAGCCGACAATATCGATTGATCACAGTCACTATTTATTTTAGACCTCGTAGATTTCTCATTAACTCGTCGACTGAAATTTACTCGGATAATTATTCTTTTTAATTTGATTTTCTATGACAAAGATGAACTCAAAATAGTTGATAAAAATGTGGCGTTAAAACTCATACTTTGCGTCTTTATTCCCAGAAGAAGCCCACGAAAGCTTGAGTCTGCGAAATAAAAGCAGACAGTTTGTATGGTTCAATTTATGCCTTTAAAATATGCGAATTAAATAACAAATGTATCGTTTTGATTTCAAACAAATGTAGATTTGCTTCAAATTATATCTATTATAGGGGTGGAGAAATTTGCAAAACTGAATTGGAACAGCTTGTCGGATACTTCAAAAATGGCGGAAACACCTTGTGTCTTGTCATGTTTCCCGAATTGCAAGCAGTGAACAAGGCAACATGTTGCCAAAGGTAGGGACAAAACTCTGGAAATCCGCTTTCATTTCCATGCACAATTATTAGTCATTTAGACAGTGTAGGGCAAATTACAACGTCGTTTTAAACATTAGAATCTGCGTAGAATGTTTGTCTCGCCGCGTACTTTATCAAATAACCTATACATCTCTGTTGTAAAATAAAATTGATTTGAGCTATCGAGAATTATTTTTTCAAAATGCTATTATTGTTTAATAAACTTAATATTTCAATATTTTCATATTCATCAAAAGCATAACGAACCTGAAAATAATTGTTTATGTTAATAAGTTTTTCCTTTGTTTGATAATAACAAAACATTCCTTAAATATCGATTATCTTCTTTTTCAGTAATTACTTTCAAATTAAGAATTACTCAAAAAGAATATCGCTAGACTTAAACTTTTATGTATGTGAAAATAAAGAGAGTGTTTACCCTCAGGAAAGTCAATAACATCTATTCCAGAAAGTACGATTTATTATATAAATTGTTGAAAATAGTTTCAGATCACGCTTAGATTTATATTTAAATACTGGCTAATACACATAACATTTATTGGACAAAAACAATTCCAAAGTTAAATGTCAAAAGAATTCAACAAAAAATGTTTTTCATTTGAATGTTAACCAAGTGCTGCCCTTCCTGTTCATTACGCCGCACTCTGAACTCGAACACGAGGCCGCTACCGCTGATAATCTCATCTAGTCTGTCATACATTGTTGTCATTCATCTTATCACTGCATTTCCACATAAATCAACATGAAACAAAACTATCCGTCCAGAAATTAACGAATTACATAGCACGAGTACTTACATTAAAACTACGTTTTGTTTTGATATACCAATGTATTTCATTAAGATAAATAATGCGTTTGGGTACTTATCTTATTAATTGTGTGTTTGAAATTCAGTGTTTGAAATGCAGTCAGTTTTGATACCTAGGCTCTTTATACAGTAATTGTATACTATTGACGGGTCACATGATAAACTGGTGTTTACTCCAATACGATTGTTGACTTGTCACGTGATGAACCTGTGTTTGCTACCTTACGACAGTTGACTTGTCGCATGATAAACTGGTGCAGGCAATACAAACCCTCGGGAAAATAGTTTCGATTTAACTTTGAAAAGTCATTTCAGAACTGAATAATAAAATCTCACTTGAATAAAAATTAACTTTGTTACACTGAAGAACAATACAATCTTGATGATCTTTGATATATATATATTGACAGATCGTCTTGTTTTATACAATTACTATATAATTATTTCGACCCTTTTTTAGCGAATGCTGTGGTAGGAATACCAGGTGTCAGGAGAACTCCCACGTAAACCACAACTATCTGGTGTATTGTGACGCTTTCTACTCGGACCCAAATGGTGCCCCTATTGGTGATCAAAGCGTACCGCCAATGATTGACGAGGACGGATTGACGATACCAGGCTACGATGGAAGTGGAGATATTCCCCCTCCTGTCAATCAGCCAACCCTCTTCAATGGTTACTTTGCCATTCATCATGACACTTTCCCGTCCGTGTGTACCTGTAAAACATCTCACTGTTAGTAATCAATATGTTGTGTAACATGTTACCGATAATTAATTTCTAAATACATAATTATATTCCGCAGTGCATATCATTGTTTGTTGTTTTTTATTGACACATTCTTAGAACAGAGAGAACATAAGCAACTAATAGTTAAGTGACACAGTATCAATTGAGATATTCTTTGTAGGGACACATTGGGTAATTTGTATAAACTGAAGCTATCCAATACAATAAAAATACTGTTATTCGTTTTATTATTAGTCCTCCGTCAAGATTAATGCATGAAACATCAGGTAAAAATGTATTACTTATTGAACAAAGAAGTTTAGAACGTATGGACCCTCGGGCTTAATGAACTTTACTACGGGCAAATGGGCCTTATTTTGCTAATTTAAATCACAATTCGTTATAACGCTTTTTAATATTAGGGGGCCCTAAATGACAAACAATCATATTTACCTGATGCTAATTTCATTTAGATGTCTTGTAAAAATATATGATTAAACTTGTGTATGTGTATATGGAGGATTTCCTGATCAATGCAACATTGTAGGTCATTTGATAGATAGAGCCTTGTTTTTTTTATATAAACAATATTATCAACAATATTTTACTCTTTTCCATAATACTCACACAAGATCGGTGCATGTTTTGAAAACGTACTATAGCATCAATAAAGGGTAAAAATACATTTTTGTTTAAATCAACGTATTTTGACTAATATATGCACTGTCACGTGATCGTCAGGTGATCTTTTTCTAATTGACGTTGATTTCAAGCATGCAATTGTTTACTGAGTGAATTGATTTACCTATTGCCTGACAGTCTCTATGGCAGAGGGATTTGAACACCAGTTAGTTTCCAATTAAGGATTTTCTCATCGTACATATCAGTAAAACCTTCAAACAAACTTGAAGGAAGAACTCCCGAAACAGGAAATCATAAACAAGTAAATAAAGTGTAATTGACATTATTTATAATTATGTTAGCATTTATTTAATGGTTTTTCATACTGCAGTTAAAAAATTGTCATTCGGCATTAGCAAACATTTATAACTTTATTACTGATACAGGCAAATCAGCTTGGGTAGGAAAAGTTGCCAAAAAGTAGTGTTTTCTTTTTTAAAGAAAAGAACTCTATCAGAAGTCGTCAAGAAGCACTTTGTGAAATTCTGTGGGAAAAACCAACCATAAGTATCATTACTGAACCATATCACAAATGTGTTTACTCTGAAAACATTAGCGGTTCTTAAGAATAATAAGATAAAGAAAAACTTGTCTAACTTACAAATTTGTCAACAATAGATATTTATTTTTAAACTAGTATTTCAGGTAATATGTACATGAATAAATTCCAACAGGAAAGTTACGACCATCTTCTGAGACTGGTGTTCCATCAATTAAGTCTACAACCCTGTGCCGTTAAATAACCATAAGGGTATGAACTGATATCAACTTAGAGTGTGTTGTCAAAGAAGAAGAAGACGCTTACCCTTCCGGAGCACATGGTCGCGTTCCCCTGCTTTTTTGTCAATTAAATTCAGTTTACTCCAAAAGCAGTACAGCTTATAGGAGTCATAACATACATATGTTAAACATAGTACATTAATTATACACATGATAACGGAGGCTGAACAATATGAAAACAATTTCACTCCTTGTCATAAATCGTGCAATTAATAAATATACTATACAAGATAACACAATAATATTACTATCAGCTGTCAAGCCTGGCAGTGGCAATATACAACAATTTACCAAAATTATTTAGTTGTCTTACATTCCTTACAGACAGAAGTTGTACAAGCTTAAAGACAGAAGGGCGATTCCAGAAATATGGCTTAATATATTTTGATCTTATTTCAGGAAAACAAATTCGGCCAAAAATAAAAAGATACTCGTCTTCTACACATCCACTTTTACATATGGGACAAATTCTAAGGTGTCTCGCCAAATTAATATATCTTCAAGATTTAATATTTAGACTATGTGATGAAAGCCTGTATTTACAAATTATTTTATTATATTTGTCTGTAACCGGTTTACATAAATAATATTGCAGTGTTAAAGTATCTACTAAGTGTTTGTAAATATAACACTTTGATGGAATTGGTAAAATGTATTAAAGCGTTTTGTATGAAACAACCTTTTATTCTTTGCTTGAGTTCAGAAATAAACATATTTTCATTAAATACTTTCTGAGAGTACATAGTAGCTCTTACATATTTGTTACCCAACTGAAATAACTTGACATACAGTCATCAAATAATACATTATAACACGAGGTTAAGATACAATTATTTGACATGGGGAACTTCAACCAATATTTTACAATTCTACTTATCCCTGTCAAATACATAGGAAATGTTCCTAGTTCAAAATATAACTTGGCATGTGGTGAAGTCTTACCTACAGGCAGTATTTTCTTTAAAAAATCAGTTTGAACTGTTTCGATCATATCACCTTTATGGCGGCCCCATACTTCGCAACCGTAGTTAAGTATGCTGCCAATATAATAATATAATAATATACAACATTTATATAGCGCCCTATATCATTTGTAAAATTACTCTAAAGCGCTTTACAACATATAGATATTAGTAATGATTATAATTGTGAAAACAAAAAACAAAGGCTTACAATCACTTTTATACATTTAAGCAAGCAATTGTGCACATTTACATGACGTCTTTGCAAGTATTCTAAAACGCAGACGTGAAGAGGTGAGTTTTGATGTCCTTTTGAACTTGGCCAGGGTATTTGACTTTCTAATAGCAGATGGTATGCTATTCCACAACGTAGCCGAAACCCTCCCAAAGCACCTGTTTCCGTAGGTCGCAGTACGAGATTTTGGGACAAAGATTCTGACTCCGACCGCAGTGATCGTGACGGCTGATACAGGGTGTAACAAGCTCCTGTAAGTATCAAACAGTGATAACAGAGTTTCAACATTAAAATAATGGTGTTTAATACTTTTAAATAATCCAAAACAGATTTATTTTTTTACCTTGTTCACCGATTTTTTTCTGAGTTTATAAAAAGGAACCATTAATTTATAACTAAAAAAAGTTCATAAATAAGTAAAGTAATGAACTACTTCAATATATACATCATTATATAACCATTTTTCACATGGCTTAACAATGCCACCCTTCCTGAAGACAACAACTTTTGTTACTTTATCACTGGTCTCTATTAAAGTTTGCTTATCGTTTAAGAAATTGAGTTTGAATTTGACATATAGATTAGGCGAGCATTTTGGCAATTTAATGTTAATTTATTTTGTCATAAATATGAATTATGATTTAACTGTTTGTCTTTTATTGAAACAGGTCAACACCCTTACAAGTAATAAGTTATGTATATTAAAAACAATTCTTATGAAAAACATGCACACGCCAAGCTTTTATGCTAACATATCTGATGACGTGAAGCTAAGGAGTGTGCTTCATTGTCTTTGAAATTTTTGAAATTTATTTTTAATTGGTGTAAAAAAACACTCCTGGACAGTGGTTACCATGTGTACTTGAAACCACAGGTGAAAATACAGGTATATCGATCTATCATTAGCTGCGGGAACTGTAGCTTCTAGCACAGGGACCTGAGCATTTGTTACAGCTATATTTGGACCTAAACTAAGGTTACATCAGAACACCTTAGTTTAGGTCCAACAATTCTCAGGTCCCTGTGGCTTCTAGGTCCGATCGTATTTTTTTTCTTTTATTATCGATATAAATGGTCCCAGATAATAGAAATAAACACCAAAATTAAACCATCGGGCCTAGAACATACACGAATGTAGTCCAATGAATGGTTGATATTGGAAGGAAATCCCAGATGAAATAGAGGAAAATCTTCAATAACCTTGGTCCAGATTATTTTTGGACACAGAAAAGAGGGTGTTGCCCGGGAACTAGGGCCCCTGGCCTATGGCCGCCCCAGTTTACCCGGGGAACTTCGATCACATGATCTGACTGTTGTGTGTCACATGACAAGCAAAATGGCTGTCAAAACATGGCTTGTCTTCCTGGTCGCTGTTACATCAGTGACGGGGATTTTGTCGTCTTTTGATTCACCACCAGAAAAGTTTGTGGTCAATCTTGATCTACCAGCGGACCAGAGATGGACACACGTGGTAACAAAACAACCATATGTGGACTTAATCCCGAAGTTCCGTCAAGTCATCGGGTAACCAGGCACCTTTTGCTAAATCAGACTATTTTATTGTTGTTTATGATATGGCAAGTAGTGACACTTTTATATAGCCATAGAAAGGAAGTAAACACGCCACCTGTCATATCATAATCCCCAAAATAATTAATGTCATGCATGCACCTGTGTCGTGGTCGATGTCATTGAACAGCCATTGAATGTCATTGATCTGTTCATTGTCATGTGGCCATTGTGGGATGAAAGACACACAGGCACATACTACTTTAATTTGTTACCTTTCAATTAAAACTGAAGTGTTTATAGTTATATATATTAGATGTTTTAGTGGTTTAGTCATTTAACTCTTGGTAAAAATGCCAACCCCAATGTCACAATGTGGTAGACAATACAGAGATCATATCACACATCAAGTAAATGATTTCTGTGTAATGTACAAATATAGCTAGTCATCATATGTGTATATTGTCGATCACTTCTTAGATTTATAAGTCAGCATCTTTCACTTAAGTAGACATATATAACTTGCAAGTTTTTAATCAGTGACAGGAAATAAAAGTTCCGTATATGGTGGCATATTAACTTTATTTCTGTCATCAATTTTCGACTTACGAGTTACCTATGATAACACTATTTTTAAAAGATGTCAACATAATTATTGTGACGCAATAACGATTAAATTATATCGACATATTTTTTATTTTCTGCTATAGTATAATTTTGCCCAGATAATTATCACAAAGGTATCTATATAGGTAATATATGTCGACATCTTTTATTTTTTTTGTCAATATCAATAAGGTAACTCAAATGTCGAAAGTCAATGGCAGAATATGCCATCAGTATGAATAGAATTAACCGAAAAAGTGCTAATTAGCAAAGCGTTAATAAATGAAAACCTAATGGATGATTCTTTGAAGTTTTTAAAAGTTATTTTCATCTTTATTTCTTATTAACTAACATAATGCAAATACAACATTTTTTTGAATAATTACAACTGCATCTTAAATTCAGAAATATTATTAAAAAAAACCAAAAAAAAAAACAACCTTAATTTGAAGAAAAATTTCAAATAAAACTTTGATTTAATTTTCTTAATAAAAAAAGTTGTGTTTGCATTATGATATTTAATATGAAATAGAGTGGGTTTTTTTAAAACTTGAAAACTGATCTAATCGCCTTCAAGTTTTTGAAACCATTCCCTGCTATTGTGTGTGTCCTCCTTGAACAGCTATAGTATCTCTGATTCTGGATTGCATAGAGTTCATAAGGGCATTGCATACTTGCCCAATTTTTGAAATTTTTCGTTGGGGAGATTCTACATGCTCAAAATTAAAACGTAACTTGTCTTACTACTGGTACACACGTTGATAGCCATCATAACTCAAAATAAAGCGAATCAAGATTCATCAGCGAAGAACATGGCCCTCCAGCATCTCATGAGAAAACATCTGGGCATATATACCATCAACCATGGTATAGGATTCGTTTGGTGTTGACCAACATATATGTAATTGCAAAATATTGAATTGCAGAAGTTCCTTTTTTTTTCATTTTCAAGAGGAGATAATATAAGATCATGCCAAGAGTTTGACTATCCCAGGTTGAAATCACATTCTGGCATTTTTTCACACCTGTTACAATTTGCATCCAACCTGTGAATTATGCCCACAGCAGGTTTGTTATGGTCCTGTGTGTATTCGAAGTTACCCTGGGTAAGGAAGAAAGAATGTAGCAGATCTGGTCTGGATTATTGTATGTGAGCATGTAGCCCAAACTATTGCAGCTTTTATTGTGAATTTTGGAGGTCTCAAATTTGAAATAAGAGTTGATAATGTAATTAGAACAGAGTGATGGGATACAGTTAATATTCCAGGGAATATATTGATTACATATCATTTTAAGGACCCCCGTACCACTGCCAGGAACTGTAACCAAGTAATGGAAACAGATTTTTTCCTTCATGACGAGTTTAGCTTTGCTAAATCATTTCTGAAAAGAAAACCATATCTTGAGAAACTTCTATGAAAAATGATAAAAATGAAATAAACAAAAGATATTTGACAACAGTGATTTGAGTGTAAAAAATTAGCGGGGCTTGACTGGGATTTGAACTCTGGACCTCAGATTGTTGTACTTATTGCTTTATCCGATTGAGCTACCTGGTCGACGGAAGTGTCCTGGCCTAACTGTGCACCATTTATATGCAATCAGAAGTTAAGGGGAGGTTAATGTATATAGATAAAAAACCACCAGACAGTGGGACAGGGATCCTTACACGACGTATGAGTGTGTTGTTATTACGTTACAGTGGTATGCTGCCAGAGCCCGAAGTGTTGTTACCCTTGGTAGAAGCCATTGCTGCAGATTTGGATAGCTACATCAAAAGTCCATACGCTCAGGAAATGAGAGGTTTGCATTTTGAGATCCTTGTATGGTATATTCAGGGAAAGATAGATTCCTAATAAGACTGTAGTGATTCGCACATCAAAGTTATTTTCATAAGATATTACAAAAATTGATACACAAGTGTAATAAGTGCAATACCATCAGCTATACAATCTGGTTGTGCTTTTCTGTACCACTGTTCTGCGACTTGAACAATATATTCATATCTGGTTGTACTATATAATGTACATTTTATGTACCTAAAAAGATGTAAATTGAATACTGTTGAACTATATATGTAAAATATGGCTGTATTGTAAGATATAGTAAACAGTTAGTTTCTGTTGTACTCTGTGTAAGACATGATTGACTATGAGATACACTGATTTGGTTGTACTGTGGGATGGGCTAAACATTAAAATAATTCCACACTTGTACCTTAAGATATGTCTGACTTATATAAATACATGTCTGTACTTTCATACATGGTTAACTAAAATACATCCATGCCTGTGCCGTAAGATTTCACAATAATACTGTAATGTTTTTTCTCTGTTTTGTCTTCATTCACAGGGATTGCTAAGAGTCTAAATATGAATCTTGGCGACATTGTAGGGGCTAACCTCCTGTATGACGTGTCAGCGTAAGTGTTTATTGTCAATTGTTTAATTTTTGTGAATATCTGTTATTTTTTTTTTTCAAACTGCTTATCAGTATTACCACGGACTTAGATAACTCTAGATATCTTCCTTTGACAAGACATTCATGATGACTTAAGGAATATTAATGTAACACACTATATATTTGAATACAAGAATGGCGGTCCTCTCTAATTTATGTGAAAACAAACATCTCCGAGGTTAAGTAAATGATTGACAGCACAGCCATGGTTTTTGAGGACAATAAAATATGGTCAAACCTGTACTTGTATCCAAGATTAACTTATTTGTCAGGCAAAGCTTACAGTCACTCAATTTAACGTACTTTCTTCCCGTTCTGGGAGTCTGACCTAATTCTTGACAGTGTAATGTTCATTACAATATGTAGAAATGCATTGTAAAATTTTATATAAAGCATCATATTGGTCCATGAAAAATAAAATAGAAATAACAGTATTTGTGTAACTCCCTACCCTATTTCTCTTTGGCATGTTACATGAAACACACTTACAGTATGTTTGTTTTGGGCTCAATGTAATAGGACATTTATCTGTATTTGCAAACTTATTGCTGTAAGAGGCAGTATTACTATTTTATCTGAGGGGTAACAGAGTTTCAATTCATGTAGAAAGTTGACCAATCATTTGGTTGGTTTAAATCAAACCATTGTTGAAAAATGGAAAACCATTATTCCAATTTCTCAAATTTAATTAATGCGATTAAGTAAAGGTGAATGTATTTGTCCTAAAACATTATATCTGAATGATTAGCAGAAAAAAATTAGCAGCAATGAAGACAGTGAGGTTCCAGTCGACCACATATTGTAAATCTTTTTCATAACTGTTCAGGTTCTGTACCAGTATTGTAATGCAGGATGACAAAAACATGATCTGGCACGCTCGAAACCTGGACTTTAGTTTTACTGATCTCCTAAGGAATATCACAGTCTTCATTGACTTTCAAAGAAACAATCAGGTATGTCTCTGACCTATTGTTGTACATACAGGCTCCTCTAGAAATAAATAACTATATGGGAAGAAGGGGAGGGGTCAGGGAGACACTTTTTTGACCCCAATTTAGCAATTATTTCAAACTGCTCCACCCAAATATTATTGAGTATAAGTGCCTTTCTGCAGAATATTTTCATGTTTAGAACATCATCATAGTCTTAATGGACTAGGTTTTTAAGTTTTTTTTAGAAATAACTGGAATTAATAATGTAAAGAAATAGTTTTAGGAGGATAGAGTGACTTAAAAGTCTTGTTAGCATTAAATTTTAGTTTTTCATTTATCCATCTTTGTATTACCTTGGTACAGTCTGTATCAGAAAAAATGTAAAATCTGCTTATGTTTTGAATAATGTTTCGGGTATTTTCAAAGTGTGTGTAAAAATGATCACGTTGTGACTCGTCAAACTGGTTTCTGTGTTTGAAATGTTCGTGTGGACAAGGGTTCTAAAATCTATATAATTTCTGTTTTATTTGTTCTATTTAATTTTCTCAATACAGAAAATGTGATCACTTTAACACTGCGATCGTATCTACTTTTACAGTAGTTAAATGTATTATGGATACCTAAACTGTACAGTTGGTCATTAGGTACATTAAAGGGTCTCACTCGTTCATTACAAGATGAGCAATTAAAAGCTCATGACAACCACTTGAGTATCCTATTGTCCACTTATATAAAAAATGTAAATGTTTTCAATAATATTTCAATCTAAACAGGGATTTGTGCCTTAAAAAATGATAATAAAATGATTTCATAACATTAGTCGAAGAATGTTACACTATTTTTATTTTTGAAAAATTGCCTCCAAAAGCATTTGTTTCCTTGAAAGTGCTTTTAAAGACTGTTGTTAAGGGTGGTTGGGTGGTGCAGTGGATATCACACTTGCCTTTCACCAAGGTGGCCAGGGTTCGATTCCCCGATCGGGCGTGAAAAAGTATGGGGTCACCTGCCTGATCACATGGGTTTTCTCCTGGTACTCTGGTTTCCTCCCACATTAAGACCCCCACGCGCTAACATCCGGGCCAACGAGAGAGAGATTAATATAAGTTGAAATAACATGTTTCATAATTGTTGTAAAATAAATAAAGTTTATATATAAATTTAAATATATACTGTTGAATATGTTTGGTTTTTAGACTGTGTACAGTGGAGTCACCTATGCTGGGTACATTGGTCTAATGACTGGACAAAGGCCAAAGGTATTTACCATCACTGCAGACGAAAGAGGTATATATTTCATGTGTTGGGATCTTGTATCTGTTAATGAATCAATCATTGTCGGGAAGCGATGATGTGTTAAATGATAAATCACATCTTTTATCGGTATACGAAATCTTGTGAAAGTCTGATATTCTGATGCAAGTGATTATTTATATAATAGAATATAGATGAGGTGTAGCTGGGTCCGGAATATTGCAAAATATCATTCCATGATAACTTATGTGATAGATGTTCTAGGTAATTTTTAATGTCTGAAAACAGAATTTATGATGTCAGAATAGAGACATGGTTGTGTGGCGAGCTAAGAAGTATTGTATATAAGTTTTCATTTTTTATGAAATAGTACTTTTAACATATACACACTGTATCACCACCAACAAGGTCAAGGTCATTAATAAAGGTCATTACCTATGTTACTTTCCTTGTCTGAAATATAAGTTCAATTCGAAGATGAATTTATGAAACTCCATGATGAAATATTTAGTAACGTCATAAGCTATGTGTTGTGTACAAGGCAAATTTCACTAAAATAGGTGGAAAAGTAAAACGTGTGCTTCCTCTCTATGGACTATAAATGTCAGTATGGTCGAAGAGAATTTCATGGATCTTCACAAACATGTATATACTTCACCAAAAAACATTTTGTGGTAACATTTTACATGTTTATGCAATCAATGTCAATGTCATGACTTCAGGTTAAATGTGCCCTTTTCTTTGTATGGGAATTTTGTACGGCTAAAGACGTTCTCATCAACACTACGTCATCAATTTATAATCACTGACGTTTTAGTCCACTTATATAACCTGCTATACTAGTCTCCAACATGTCAAGGTGACTAGTAGGGGTCACAGATCAAATAGGCTCATATATAATATACACAACATACTTTTTTCCTTTCTTTACCACAATATCTGCACTAAATGGTGCGTCGTATACTTTTTGTTTCACCTGAGAACAGGTGACCTATTGCAATCACCTTTCATCCGTCATCATGGTTTGTACGTCAATGCGTTAACAGTTACATTTTTATTTTTTTCTCAGAAACCGTCTGTCTGTTTGATGAAACACAAAAATGTTAGAAAAATAAAAAAATGATATAATACTACTGGTTGCTAGGTCCAGTTTTACATGTATTTTATTCCCCGTTCTTACGGGAGCTGTGTGGTGATAGAATTATTGAAGGACCTTCATACTCATTTGTGTATAACATTAGTACTACCTGGTATATCAATTAACATTTATAAACATATAAAATAATTGTCAGTTCATGATTCAACTCACAAAATTTTGACATCTAATAAATGGTTTATTGTTAAGGGTATTTTGTGTTTCTGTTTTAATGACAGATGACGGGAGCTTTTGGATGAACTTCCTGGTTGGGATACTCCAGAGGGATGCTGTTCCTGTCAGCTTCCTTATCAGAGATGTAATTATTCTTACTTGAATTAACCAAGATTAGTACATGTCTAGTTCTCACCTAAGGGGAGGAAACTGGAGTACCCGTGGTCAGGCAGGTGAAGAAGTATGGGGTCACCTTCCCGACCATGTGGGTTTTCTCCGGGTACTCTGGTTTCCTCCCACATTAAATATAAGACCCACTGCGTGCTCAAATCTGAGCCAACAAGAGAGATTAATATAAGTTGAAATAACTTGTTTCATATTTGTTGTTAAATAAATAAGGTTTATATTCACCTATAGCTGAACTCCTAGTTTTTGATTCCCTGTTAAAATTAATTTTATCCAGATATTTATTTGGTCTCCAATATATGCTTTTCCCATTTTTATAACAAAAGTTATTTGTAATAATTATAATGAAAGTTAGTCGTGCCAAGTTTTATTTAATGAAAAATAACATATTCTGAAGTATGAAATTATGTGTTAATTAAGTGTGGATATTGTGGTGTTGAGGTCATTTCTCAAAGGTTACCCTAACCAAATTCTTGGAGAAATCAATGTAATAATACCAGGTAGGTTCATTGAGTCCAATTTTCTGTGCGAATAATGACATGGCATACTTGATATTCCGTCTTTGCGTATTGCAGAGTTATCTTCTCTTGGGAGCAGGTATTGATTGTTACGACATTCGTTTGTGCGAGATAATTACGTCATTTTCTCAAAAATTCATGATGTTACTCTCACAAACAAGTGACGAAACAATCAATACCTGCTCCAAAGAGAAGATAACTCTGCAATACGCAAAGACGGAATAGGAGATGTGTGATTAATGTATAGAATATGAATATTAAATGACAAAATATTGATTTGTGTTATTTACTATACAGACACTGGAGGAGAGTACAAATTACCAAGCAGCCGTAAACAAGCTGGCCTATAGCATTACTATGGCTTCTGTGTACCACATCGTGGCTGGCGTTAACCCTGGGGAGGGAGTCATCATCACTAAGGGTCGTGAGGAGCCAGTTGACATCTGGCCACTCAACCTTTCAAAAAACAGGTATGCAAAATCATGTGTGCTATAAGTAAAACTTAAACCCTTTGCTCATTTGCATTTTATCAAGACAGTCAGGTCGCATTTCTATAGGTAATCTGGTGTCATCCCCACGTTAAGAACCCCTGCATGCTAACTTTTGGGCAAACAAGAGTGATTGATATAAGCAAACATAATGTGTTTCATAATTGCTGTAAAATAAAAACAAAATTATATTTAACCAATTCAAGACTACCATATGGCCTTGTATTCCCTTATTGTATTGAAGTGCCTTTTTCTATGCCTCTTCAAAAAATTATCATATAGCCAAAATCATGTTCTTCATTTCCTTTCCAAATTTTGTTATACTCTGCTGATATAATCACTTGATGCTGAAATCGTGCACCTATTCTCATTTTTGTTCATTCTAGCTATATGTGTATGGGATTTCTAGCTATATGTGTATGGGATTTAAGCTCTTTTGCAAAGTTATTTGCTGAATGTAATCCAACCTTTAGGAAAACTTCACAAATGAAATCATCAAACTTTAAGTGTTCTGGGATATGGATAAGAGTGGGTTACAGTTGTTGTTTTGATATTATTAATATGAAGTTGGCACAAAAACGGCTATATTATGATAATAGATAATTCTAAATTTTTCACATTCCTGCATGTCAAAAGATAGTTGTGACACTAAATATTGATGTGTGTTACTGTAATTTGTAGATTGTCACCTATACACAGAAGTATGTGTTCGCCATTACAAGTATCTTAACACATTCACCCCTGAAGACACATTTGAACCCTTCTAATTCAAAGGTTGGAATAGTTCATTACGAAACTTCAGGGGTGAATGAGTTAACATTAATCGATTGACAAACATTTTAAGGATATTTTCGTGACTTTTTGTCAGGTGGTTTGAGGTGGAGACAAACTACGACCACTGGAACAGTCCACCCCCAGATGATGACCGCAGGTCAGTATCCCCGGTGTTACAATGTCTACATGTCGTGTTAAATCTATTCAATCTTACCAGTAATACATTGTTATAGATAAAACTAGATGTCTGCACCGACATCTCTTTACAGGACTTGCAATCACTATACTAGGTTCATATACCTAGATTATCATATTTTCTTTGCAACTTTAGAATTTTAGATGCAGTACCCTCCTCTTTAGAGGAAATATGTGTATTTCATCGAAATCCTTGCCTTAGAAAATCCTATGTCACAGGATGTTTTCAAAGACAAATAGTTCATTTTAATACTGATTTTCAAACAAGGTAGGTATACAATACAGATTAATACTACATATAGAATTACACTACTGTTACAAAATTACACTACTGTTACAGAGTTACACTACTGTTATAGAATAACACTACATTTACAGAATTACACCACTTACAGAATGACATGACATATTTTGATTGCACAACATTACATTAAATATATAGAATTACACTATATACACATACTCAAACTGCATATATATACATAACATTACATATGCATAATGTATATACTTACAAAACATAAACAGAGTTATACTACATTTTCAAAATTGCACTACATACAGAATCACACTACGCATATAATTACACTATATATATAGTCCACATATATACATAATTCCATTACATAATTACATAATTTATTATACTACATATATATAATTGCCATACATCCACAAAATTGCACAATTTTTACATACTGAAACTACATTTACAGAATAACATTACATTTATGGAATAATTAACACTACATTTATAGAATAACACTGCATTTATAGAAAAACACTACATTTACAGAATAACACTACATTTATAGAATATCATTTATAGAATAACATAACAGTTATGGAATAACACTACATTTATAGAATAACACTACATTTATAGAATAACAGTACATTTATAGAATAACACTATATTTATGGAATAACACTACATTTATAGAATAACACTACATTTATTATATAACATTAAATTTATAGAATAACATTACATTTATAGAATACATTTATGGAATAACACTACATTAACAGAATAACATGAAAATTTATGGAGTAACACTTCATTTATAGAATAACATTACATTTATAGAATAACACTACATTTATAGAATAACAGTACATTTATAGAATAACACTATATTTATGGAATAACACTACATTTATAGAATAACACTACATTTATTATATAACATTAAATTTATAGAATAACACTACATTTATAGAATAACACTGCATTTATAGAAAAACACTACATTTACAGAATAACACTACATTTATAGAATAACATAACAGTTATGGAATAACACTACATTTATAGAATAACATTACATTTATAGAATAATACTACATTTATGGAATAACACTACATTAACAGAATAACATGAAAATTTATGGAGTAACACTTCATTTATAGAATAACATTACATTTATAGAATAACACTACATTTATAGAAAAACAGCACATTTATAGAATAACACTATATTTATGGAATAACACTACATTTATAGAATAACACTACATTTATTATATAACATTAAATTTATAGAATAACATTACATTTATAGAATAACACTAATTTACACAATAACATTACATTTATATAATAACACTACATTTATAGAATAACACTACATTTATAGAATAATACTACATTTACAGAATAACATTACATTAATAGAATAACACCTCATTGATAGAATAACACTTCATTTACAGAATAACACTTCATTTATAGAATAACATTTCTTTTATAGAATAGCACTTCATTTATAGAATAACACTTCATTTATTGAATAATGTTACATTTATAGAATAACACAACAACTATATAATAACACTTCATTTACAGAATAACATAACATTTAGAGAATAACACTACATTTATAGAATAACATTACATTTATACAATAACACTACAATTATAGAATAACACTTCATTTACAGAATAACACTACATTTATGGAATAACATTACATTTATGCAATAACACTACATTTATAGAATAACACTACATTTACAGAATAACACTACATTTATAGAATAACACTACATTTTATTAAACTACATAGACATAATTCATCAAAAATATCATAAAACTACTTATATTTAACTACACTACATAAACAAATAGTTTCATTACTTAAATATCTACAAATATAGAATTAAAATACATAATACCATTGCTTAAACATAATAAAACGTCATATAGAATTATGCTACAATAGTTACCCTACATCATGTTTTATAGAGACCCAGCTATCAAGGCTATGACTAACCTTGGACAGAAAAACATCAGTAAAGCAACCCTGTTTAATGTCATGTCTACAGTACCAATCAGAAACAAGTAAGTGTTTAATGTCATGTGTACAATACTAATCAGAAACAAGTAAGTGTTTAATGTCATGTCTACAGTACCAATCAGAAACAAGTAAGTGTTTAATGTCATGTCTACAGTACCAATTAGAAACAAGTAAGTGTTTAATGTCATGTCTACAGTACCAATTAGAAACAAGTAAGTGTTTAATGTCATGTCTACAGTACCAATTAGAAACAAGTAAGTGTTTAATGTCATGTCTACAGTACCAATCAGAAACAAGTAAGTGTTTCATTACATGTCTACTGTACCAATCAGAAACAAATAAGTGTTAAACATCATGTCTACAGTACCAATCAGAAACAGGTTAGTGTTTAATGTCATGTCTGCAGTACCAATCAGAAACAAGTAAGTGTTTAATGTCATGTCTGCAGTACCAATTAGAAACAAGTAAGTGTTTAATGTCATGTCTACAGTACCAATCAGAAACAAGTAAGTGTTTAATGTCATGTCTACAGTACCAATCAGAAACAAGTAAGTGTTTAATGTCATGTCTACAGTACCAATCAGAAACAAGTTAGTGTTTAATGTCATGTCTACAGTACCAATTAGAAACAAGTAAGTGTTTAATGTCATGTCTACAGTACCAATTAGAAACAAGTAAGTGTTTAATGTCATGTCTACAGTACCAATCAGAAACAAGTAAGTGTTTAATGTCATGTCTACAGTACCAATCAGAAACAAGTAAGTGTTTAATGTCATGTCTACAGTACCAATCAGAAACAAGTAAGTGTTTCATTACATGTCTACTGTACCAATCAGAAACAAGTAAGTGTTAAACATCATGTCTACAGTACCAATCAGAAACAGGTTAGTGTTTAATGTCATGTCTGCAGTACCAATCAGAAACAAGTAAGTGTTTAATGTCATGTCAGCAGTACCAATTAGAAACAAGTAAGTGTTTAATGTCATGTCTTTGGTACCAATCAGAAACAGGTTAGTGTTTAATGTCATGTCTGCAGTATCAATCAGAAACAGGTTAGTGGTTAATGTCATGTGTACAGTACCAATCAGAAACAGGTTAATGTTTAATGTCATGTCTATGGTACCAATCAGAAACAGGTTAGTGTTTAATGTCATGTCTACAGTACCAATCAGAAACAGGTTAGTGGTTAATGTCATGTCTGCAGTACCAATCAGAAACAGGTTAGTGTTTCATGTCATGTCTATGGCACCAGTCAGAAACAGGTTAGTGTTTAATGTCATGTCTATGGTACCAATCAGAAACAGGTTAGTGTTTAATGTCATGTCTGCAGTACCAATCAGAAACAGGGTAGTGTTTCATGTCATGTCTATGGTACCAGTCAGAAACAGGTTAGTGTTTAATGTCATGTCTACAGTAACAATCAGAAACAGGTTAGTGGTTAATGTCATGTGTACAGTACCAATCAGAAACAGGTTAATGTTTAATGTCATGTCTACAGTACCAATCAGAAACAGGTTAGTGGTGAATGTCATGTCTGCAGTACCAATCAGAAACAGGTTAGTGTTTAATGCCATGTGTACAGTACCAATCAGAAACAAGTTAGTGTTTAATGTCATGTCTATGGTACCAATCAGAAACAGGTTAGTGTTTAATGTCATGTCTGTAGTACCAATCAGAAACAGGTTAATGTTTAATGACATGTCTGCAGTACCAATCAGAAACAGTTTAATGTTTAATGTCATGTCTGCAGTACCAAGCAGAACCAAGTAAGTGTTTAATGTCATGTCTACAGTCCCAATCAGAAACAGGTTAATGTTTAATGTCATGTCTATGGTACCGTAAGTGTTTCATTACATGTCTACTGTACCAATCAGAAACAAGTAAGTGTTTAATGTCATGTCTAAGGTACCAATCAGAAACAGGTTAGTGTTTAATGACATGTCTGCAGTACCAATCAGAAACAAGTAAGGGTTTAATGTCATGTCTATGGTACCAATCAGAGACAAGTAAGTGTTTAATGTCTTGTCTGCAGTACCAATCAGAAACAGGTTGGTGTTTAATGTCATGTGTGTGGTACCAATCAGAAACAGATTAGTGTTTAAGGTCATGTCTGCAGTACCAATCAGAAACAAGAAAGTGTTTAATGTCATGTCTATGGTACTAATCAGAAATAGGTAAGTGTTTAATGTCATGTGTATGGTACCAATCAGAATCAGGTTAGTGTTTAATGTCATGTCTGTAGTACCAATCAGAAACAGGTTAGTGTTTAATGTCATGTTTGCAGTACAAATCAGAAACAGGTTAATGTTTAATGACATGTCTGCAGTACCAATCAGAAACAGGTTTATGTTTAATTCAGAAACAAGTAAGTGTTTCATTACATGTCTACTGTACCAATCAGAAACAAGTAAGTGTTAAACATCATGTCTACAGTACCAATCAGAAACAAGTAAGTGTTAATGTCATGTCTATGGTACCAATCAGAGACAAGTAAGTGTTTAATGTCTTGTCTGCAGTACCAATCAGAAACAGGTTGGTGTTTAATGTCATGTCTGTGGTACCAATCAGAAACAGATTAGTGTTTAATGTCATGTCTGCAGTACCAATCAGAAACAGGTTAGTGTTTAATGTCATGTCTATGGTACCAATCAGAAACAAGTAAGTGTTAAACAAGTAAGTGTTTAATGTCATGTCTGCAGTACCAATCAGAAACAGTTTAGTGTTTAATGTCATGTCTGCAGTACCAATCAGAAACAGGTTAGTTTTTAATGTCATGTCTGCAGTACCAATCAGAAACAGGTAAGTGTTTAATGTCATGTCTGCAATACCAATCAGAAACAGGTTAGTGTTTAATGTCATGTCTACAGTACCAATCAGAAACAAGTTAGTGTTTAATATTGTGTCTGCTGTTTGGGTCAGAAACATCTTCAGCTATCTTATTCGAAGTGTTTCCAAAGCTGTCACTCACTTTATATTTTTTTTCGAATTTCATTGCTGAAGGTTTGATAATAGGTGAAATACTGTAACAGAACTACAGTTGTTCCCCAAGAAATAAGGAAAAAGAGGGAAAACTGAAGAGGGTACAAGCCAAAATTTAATATCACAAGCTGACTTTGTTAAAATGAATTTCTCACGAGACTCATTAGATAATCGTTCTTGGGTAGATAAATCATAAACGTCACCATATAGTTGTCAACTTTGGATACTACAGCATTGTAATACATACTTGATTAAGTGGTATTGTTATGGCACATATCCAGGAATGTAGATGTGAGGATATTCTTGTTTAAGATGAATCAAATTTTTCTGTTTCAGCCACACAACCTATTCTGTTGTGATGTCTGCTGCGCAGCCCCAGATCATGCAAGCCTGGATACGACACGGAGACGTGTACTGATCATTGTAACGTGTACTAACCGATGTATTGAAAAGCTGTATTGACCACAACTATTTCTACTGATTAGGCCGTTGATTCACCTGTTTCATTTACATAAGAAGAAATCCTTGACGTCCTTGTTCGCATTGAATAGTATTGCTTCAGTAAAGGAGATTAGTTCACCCTTTCAACCCTATGTAACTTTAGTAGACATTAACCATTCATTGATATGGATGAGTTCATTATGGTCTACAGTGGTGAAAGGGTTAAGGATATTTTTCTTACATTTAGCAATGATATTTTTCTTACATTTAGCAATGGAGATACTTAAGTCAAGAAATAAACTCTTCTATGAACCTGGGTAAGTTGATATTTACTCACCAAGATGAATTCCATAGTCCCTACTTACCACATTGACACATTCACCCCTGAAAGTTTATAATGAACTATTCCAACCTTTAAATTGGAAGAGTTCAAATGTGTCTTCAGTGGTGAATGAGTTAACTATTTGCTACAAAATCTATTTACTATTTGATGACCTCTACGTACAAAGTTCATGTCTGTATGCTATCTGAAAGACCTATTTGTCACTGTTGTTTATGTCCAGATAGATAAAAACAGTGAAAAGTTGGTCCTAAAAATTTGATATTCATCATGAACATATTTCTTATGATACTCATTTTACAAGTGCAATGGAAACCAAATTTTATGATACATGTATAGATTTTTGGATGAAGGTGTTCCTGCAAAATGAACAAAATTAAATGCCCATTAAGACATGATTTTACAATAGAGGAAGTTCAGTCTCATTGTATTAACATTTCCTTTTCTATATATTTTAAAGTTTAATGCTATATCAATATTTGCATCACTGATATCTGGTATTTATGAAAACATTAAACCAACCATATTATCCATAAGTTGGTATGTGTCACCAAGTATGAAGTGGCGTATTACTTATTCAAAGGTGCCTTAATTTTATCATGTCTCGTCTTTTATTATAATGTTTTCTTGATTTGTTAATATTCAATATATATAGACAATAATTTGTTATTGGTCAACAAACATGTTGCTATAAGCGGGTGCGATATCTAGTGGGGTGCGATAACATATCATATATTCCAGAACCCGAGCACCTGTGGCCAAAATAGGAAATTTCCAAACAGGGATATCATGAACACTTCAGCAGATTATATCTCTTTGGTTTGCTGTATTGTATCACCTGTTAACCCTTTCACCCCTATGTAACTTTAGTTAACTCTTCCATGCATTGATCTGGATGAGTCCATTATGTTTCACAGTGGTGAAAGAGTAAACTAAAAAATACTCACAATTAAATGATATGTAATTCAATGCTGATGGGAATTCGAATGAGCAAGCCAACTGTACTGGTATTGTCTCCCATTTGACCACCTTTTGTAAACACACATGAATTGTGTTTTATATGGGTAAGAGAATTGAGAACAATTACATACTTAATCCATATCTAGGGAAGTGACAAAGCGATTTACCGTTGTGTATTTAAGGGAATCATAGCTCCATTTATATTTATCAATAAATGGTGTTTAACAGGTAAAAATCAGCAGTTTATTACCTGAATGGAATGTGATTTACATGTGATAAATAGCTGTGTAATACAACTCACTGCAAATGAATGATATTTATTCTCCACTACTTTGTATGGGCACAGGTTACGGGAAATTATAGATTTTCCAGGGAAATGTTTTTATGATTTTCAAGAGAAATATACCATGATACATATATTGCTCTATACTGTTGTGTCATATACCCCGACACATAACATGGTATAATGTGATCTACTGTATGTGAAGCCATCTATTCCGTCTTTGCGTATTGCAGAGCTATCTTCTCTTGTGAGCAGGTATTGATTGTTACGTCATTGGTTTGTGTGAGAAAATTACGTCGTATTCTCAAGTTTATGACGTTATTCTCACAAACAAATGACGTAACAATCAATACCTGTTCACAAGAGCAAATAACTCTGCAATACGAAAAGATGGATTAGTGTGACCTTAATTACTACAGAGTATTTTGTATCAATGAAAGTATTGCATGGATTTACATATCTTAATTATTCCAATTTGATATTAATTTTATTTATTATTTATTGTTTTGATAATCCATTGTTAATGATGCTATAGATTTATTTTTATGAAATGTAATAAAATCAAATAATGTCACATGTACATGTTTTGTTTAATTTTAAGTCACCCCTGGGGGAACCCCAGCGGGGACCATTAATTTTGGTTTCAGTCCCAGATTTTGACCTGTTAGGAGGGCTGTTGTGTATCTTGCTTCTGTCGGAATATACCAGACGCTATATATATAATTACAAGCTCTTGGATAACTCAGATATCGATTTCCTTTTTAAACAGGAACAGTATAAAAACTAAAGGCGTTCCAAATTCCCCACGGGAATTACATTTAACCTAAAGATGTTCCGAGTATGAATCAAACACCTTTGAGGTTCCCGAAGGGGTAAACTGTCATATTATAAATTGCGTTTGACCGATTTAGATAGCAATACAACTGCTAAATTTCGTTGAATAATCCCTGATTGCATTGCCAATTTAACAATTACGAAAAGCTGCAAGTTAAAGTCATATAATACTATAGAATCGGATAAATAAACTCGAGTAAAGTAGGCTGAACTTTTCAGGACGTTACGTTGCGAATTGATAAATACCACGTATTGGGAAACATAACGAAGAATTACATCGGATTTATTACGCACGCCCATTACGCCCTCATGATGACCTGGACCCGCCCCTGCGTAGGAATGTATCAAAACGACACGGGTAAAGTGGCGAAGTTAGCGAGTTTGTGTAGCCCAGAGGGTCGAAGTTGCGTGATACTATTAACCGGCAGGAATTTACAAATGACATCCATGCGAATTGAACCGATAATGATAAAAGTGTTTGACTTTGAAAATTAAATATCAACGGGTTCAAAACAGCCAAATACATTCCGATCTTTTCTTTTCGAAGGAGAATTGCTGACAATTGTTTGGTGTTCTTCATGTCTTGCGAATTAGGCTGTTGGCGGTCCTCGTCGGAGTGACTGCCTTTAGTGTACAGTACACATTCTGCCGATATCGATGACCGATTCAGTCGGATTTGCAGACGATCAGAAAACTACTTGGAAAAGTGTATTTCATAGCAAAAAATAGAAACTTAATGTTGCCAGGTGACCGTGTCAGCGCGCAGATCTCCCCGTATTCGAGGTCGTCAACGCTATAACGTTATATTTGCGACATGCTTTCCTATTAATTCCCTGTGTTGCCATGGCTACCTGAACAGCATGTATGTTTTTACACCTGGTAATTGTTTACTATTTTGATTGACAGGTGGAAATATATCCGTTGTAGCTTGGTCAATGATTTATCGGAAAATGATCATACAGAATGAGGGGTGACTTTCATGTCATTCTGACATATTTCTAGTTTCTCTCGAGGGTGTATTTGAATTTGGAACGAAATGAAACATTACAATCAATGAATGTTTGAATATATCATGAAATGGTAGGACTATTAAGGGATTGGATAAATATTTGTTAAAAGGCCTTCACTCCATGATCAAACAACTTGATGATTTTGGAGGACACCTGGAATATTCTTTATGATGCATAGTGGATATCCAAATTAGTGAATACGATTAAATCAAGATGCGAATATATTCTTAAAAGTGTCATACAAGCTTTTAAACTTCAGCTCTACTGGTGAGAGTCCTTAATGGGCTAAGTAGTCGTACATAACATGGTGGTTGGCTGGCCTGTACTAGTCGAAGCCGAGGCTGACCCTTCAGCGAGTCGCGTCAACTATGGTTTTACAGACACGATATAACAAACAAAGCTCAGAATGAGGGACTTTCTGGTCAAAGTTTCACTACAAATCTTGTGTTGTCTTCCAAATAATTCACAGATGCTAGAAACATTCTTAGAAGAAAACGACATTCATGTTCTGATGAAGTGGACTTCAATGACCTTGTAGAATCTGGAAGTTTGCTGTCGTTCTACTAACATCACATACTAGAGCCGATGGTACTGTAAGAACAACGGTATGTCTCAATAGCATCCTCGATACTCAAGTGGTTACCCTCACTTTCGTTTTCTGCAACCCTGGACTATGTCATTACAAATTGAAGGATTGCCTCATGTAAAAAAAAAAAAGACTTGACCAATTTCTAGGCCGATACATTTCCTTTGAACATTACAGAGGTGCGACTCCCGACTTCAAAGACAGTCAATATTACCGTTACCCTGTTGCGAGATTCTTTTGATGTACATCAAAACTTATCAAAGGATCAAACTTGTCTTCTTGTCTCGAGGCTTTCGATTTTGTCATGAAAAATTCTAGAGGTGCAGAAATCGTAACTGAGGGTGACCCCTGGAGTATCGAGGTTGCGTCAATAGATTTGATAATGGTTTTGGTGATCCTCACTTCCATGGCATTTTCTAAGTACACAGGATTATGCCCTTTTAAATGACTGTATGGTAACAGTCTCCGACATCTCAATGTTGTATACAAACACATTTTTCTATGAACTCAAAAAGAAATCGGACTTAAAAATTCGAGGAAGTTGTACCGATTCCGAGATATTTAGTTATTTGGTTCCATTCCCGTTTGGACACTTTTCCTTATATTTTATGATTTTATGATACTTATGATTTCAAAATGCCAAGAAGGTAAAGTTTTGTCCTAAATGACACTCTGTCTGAATTTTGCGAATATATTTATAGCAGAAACAGTTAACATACGATCGTAAAATGATTTCGCAAGGCATATGTGCAACATTTTACAGTCTTTGTGCCATTAAAATATTAACTTTCAGTGTTTGGGGCTCGTGATATCTATTCGCCAGACTGTTCTGTCAATAGCCTAATTACTTGGGATCTCGTTGCCGTGTTTAGTTTGCTCATTGCGGCAAGTCCTGTAAGTAAATATACAAATGTACACTTGTTTTCATATTAAACAAAAACCTGATTCAAACTACTGTTTCGTCGTCCTCAATATCTCAGGGATTATGCTCACTTTCGTGAGCTTAGCCGACGGAGTGGATGCTGCTTCGTATTCGTGTTGTAATATATTGACATAAAACAAGCAACGATGTATCCTCAAAGTGGAAATTTGTGAAAAAATCAACTGAACAACAGAGATTTGTGTTTTAATTATGTCGTTTACTTCAGTAAGCACTGCTCTAGGCCATGATTCTCAATATTTCGAATTGCTTCAACAATAGAAGTATAAGCGATGCTCTCAGACTCAACAGTAGAAAGAAAACGCTTTGGTCCCTGAAGGGTTAATTACGTCTGCCATAAAGTCAGTTACCATTCCGACATTTCAGGCAAATTTTAAGTTTGTACATCCTCGATATCCAGAGGTTACGCTCACTTACGCTCTCTGCACGTATTGAATATCTCAAAGCAAATTCGAAGGCTCAGTGGATGAGACGAGAAGGTTAGTTTGATCCTTTGATGAACATAAAACGAATCTCGCGGTCACATAACGGTAAGTAATAGATACATAATGTACACGAGTGATGTATCGGATATATCACACGAGTCCGTTAGGACGAGTGTGATATATCCGATACGTCACGAGTGTCGATTATGTATCTGTTTTATCCAATGACCGCCGAGGTTTTTGTCACCCACGTGTCAAGGGGCGGAGCTATACAGCTGATCAGGATCTGTCAAGTAATCACTTTGATATTTTCCCGCCACTTTCTGACCCATCCCATTTCCTGCCACAGCATTTCAGTCTCAGGTGTTAATGATGGAGGGTCAGGCATGGCATGGCGTCCCTGGATTGTATATGATATTTACACAGAGTTGCCCACAGACTGTTGAATAGGGTCCATTTTACATGAGACCCCTTGCCGGTAGGAAATTTGGAACACAGCCGATTGGAGTAAATAAACTGAATGCAATTGTGAAAAACATGTGTAAGGAAGCAAGATTCGAGGGGAAGTTTTTAAATCACTACGGAAAGAGAACATGCGCCACAACTCTTTACCAAGCCGGTAAGTCTGAAATTAAAGTGTGTCTAAACATAATTGTGAATCACGAAAATATTAGCGTGTGTATATGTTTTTTCATAATCTGTAAAATGGAATACATGTTCTTTTTCGTATATGAAAATAACTTTCGATGTCCATAAATAACATAAATCCTAAATAATTCATTAACACGATATTTGAAGTTAAATTACAGACGCGTTATTTATTTTGTTTATATATTCTCCCATTTATGATTAGGTATTTACTTTTTCCGCAACGCATGTGTTTATATTTTTTTTTAAATACAATGTAGTGATGAAACAATTATTAATTTTTATGTTTTTTTTTTTTTAATTTGACTTGAATGTTATACGCATTGACATTAACCTAAACCTTACACGATAAAAATGTCCATTTATTTTCTACTTTCATTGGGTTTTGATGAACAGTTGATTATGGAAAGGACTGGACATCGCAGTACCGCTGTCCGTGCCTACAACAGACCGTCCGTGCCTACAACAGACCGTCCGAGGCGCAACAGGTGGAAATAAGCCGGGCATTAGAGTGTGGGAAAAGTGCGATCAAGAGTCGAGACCGAAACACAAGATAACAAAAAAAGTGTAACGTAGCGTTAAAAATATAATACCAACACATTATTGGTGCTTGATAGAGAAATGCTGTTTTTTCACTTACGGTGTCTAAATTAAATTAAATTCGTTTGCAATANCATTTCGACATTTCAGGCAAATTTTAAGTTTGTACATCCTCGATATCCAGAGGTCACGCTCACTTACGCTCTCTGCACGTATTGAAAATCTCAAAGCAAATCGAAGGCTCAGTGGATGAGACGAGAAGGTTAGTTTGATCCTTTGATGAACATCAAACGAATCTCGCGGTCACATAACGGTAAAACTTATTGGCTTTGAATTCGGGCGTTGCTCCTCTGTTATCTTTAAACTTTAAAAGACAAGACTCAGCCTAGTGACTGATCAGGTTTATTTTCCCTAACACCAATTAAAAAGTTAGCCGCGTGCCTTCGATTTTTCTAAGACATAGTCCAGGAGTGCAGAGAGCAAATGTGAGCGTAACCCCTGGATATCGAGGATGACGTAACTCCTGGATATCGAGGGTGGAGTTTGCATGAAGAGCCAGTTTTCAGGTCCGACTCTGTATTTGTATGTATTGTATGGCAAGCCAACTTGTCCGACTCTGTATTTGTATGTATTGTATGGCAAGCCAACTTGTAAATTTCACATACTATTTATCATCAGGAATGTGCCACCATATTGCCTTTGACCGTTGCATTGTACTGTTCTGCGGTATTGATATGACATCGGAGAAAGGCCGGGACGGTGATCCAAACTGTGAAGTGTCCTCGAAGAATCTCGGAAAAGACATCATGTGACCAAACCCTAATGTGGAAAGTATTATTGAAGGTGCATATAGCGATCATATAGTTTTTTGAGCTTTAAATAGAAAGGAAAACCATAGATTAAATGGAAACATATTGAACTATCAGTTTGGCACAAAACCATTCTCAGGTTAAAGATTATAGTCCAAGCGACTTTATAAAGGATGAAAAAACTATCAATGAATCTCAAAATATAAACCTGATTATTACTTATTCATATACAAAATGTGTTTTTAATTCGTTCTTCTGAGACAAATTTGCTCACAATCACAATATATCATCACCCTTCAAAATTGGGCAGCCGGGCGGCCATGGAGATATCTTCGTGATAGAGTTGTACAAAATGTACATTTCTGCAACACATGCACTTAATATATGAGTGGACAAAGGTTGAACAGAATTTGTATTATCCGCTTTAATATATCATTTAATGAAAACGCCCTTTTCAGTCGTTCCAATGGTTTAATAGAGCAGCACCTCTCAACGGCATACCGGTTTACTGGGTGTTGACACACACACAAGGAACAATCCTTACATATTAAGACAGGTCTAAACATTTATAAGCACTGTAATTATCAGGCCCTCGCGTTGTGCATGAATGCACTGCACCTATCGATTACATGGAATTCGTCGTTGCTTTTAAATAATTTCAGAATATCTTGCATACCAGATATGATGTATCGAAATTTTCAATTTATTTCAGACTTTACAAAAAGGTATCATATCGTTCTGAAATGTAACCTTCGTTGCTGCGGTACTACTTGCTGCGGACTATGACCTGAGAGTAATTGTCTACTGTCTGTACAGGGGAACTAAAACAGCTATTTATATGGATATGTTAACTATAATTTATATATTAAAGGTGTCAATGACATGTTAAATGTAGAGCGATAACAAATTGATAGCACGTTTATGACGCTAGATAGTACGTTGTATACATGTATACCTGTTACGCCTATGCAACTGAGTGTGGTAGCAAATCTATTTATAGCAAGTGTACATGTATATACACATACGCTATTGCTAGTACACTTGTATAGAGTAACATTGAAGAAAAATCTACAAACAGTGAGCTGCTATTCAATTATGTATCCCTTCACAGTCGTTTTGATATAATATATTTGTTACTGGATATGTAAAGACATCTTTCTGGAACATTTATTCTTATATATTGAGGTTTTAGGTACTAGGAGTGACCTAGTTGATCAGTATGGGTATATGAACAACATAAATCTTAACAATTCAGGTAACCAAATAGAAAAGCAAATGCTTTATTACAGCCATTACAGTAAAAAACACAATCTTATACTCCCCCAAAACCAAAATACCTTGTTGTCGGCTATATAGATAACGGTTTGATTGATTACACGCCTTTACTGCAGATAATCGATAAATACCTAGGGATCTAGTTTACTCTAGCGCGTCTTGTTACAACCGTTCTATTAATTAACCTTTCCAGGTTTACATAGCTGAATCACTCACGTGCCTGTGGCCATATTGTGCAACCAGCATTGGCTTAATTTTACGTTGATTAAGTTCGGCAGAAGACAACGTTTAATCTTCTGTAGAATGGGATCAACTACGTCTTTCCCCCGGGTGTCTATTCCAAAAGACAACATTTCTCTTGTTACCGGAGGAAATGCGGGTAAATATGAAGATCCTTGTTGGTATAATGGTAGTATATTTTATCGTTGTCATAATCACTAACACTTCAAAGATGCGTTAAATCACTGACTCACCTTGCCTAATCTAAGCCGACTGTCATTGACTGTATTAGAATTCAAATAATGCTTATTTAATAATAATAATAATCATGTTTCAAATATTTTCCAGTTTTCTTACATTAAACAAACTTAACCATATCCAAGTTATCAATAAGATGCATTTTCCCCATTACATTTTCAGGGATAGGCTATCATACTGCTAAGTGGTTGGCCATGATGGGTGGTACTGTTATCATAGCATGTAGATCAGAGGAGAAAGCTAATCAGGTGAGTATAACGTTAGCACGTAGCTGTGATATTTTGCGGATATTTGTAACTGGATCCTTACAGTATACACTATTGTCAGTGTATTAGGATATGAGGATGTGGCATTCGGAGTCAACCTTTTGTGAAATTTCACCCAAACATTCATTATGATGCTTTAAAATGTTTTGGTGTTGGAAAACATAGATGCATACATAATCATCCGGATATTGCGTGCAAGTCACAAGAACTTGACCCAAGATACAGCGTCCCGGATGTTAACAATGATACAACGTCCCGGATGTTAACAATGATACAACGTCCCGGATGTTAACAATGATACAGTCTTCTCAGACGCTAACAATGATACAACGTTCTCAGATGTTAACACTGATACAACGTTCTCAGGCGTTAACACTGATACAACGTTCTCATTCATTAACAATGATACAGCGTTCTCAGACATTTACAGCGATGCAGAGATATCAGATGTTAACAATGATACAGCGTTCTCCGTCGTTAACAATGATACAACGTTCTCAGACGTTAACAATGATACAGCGTTCTCAGACGTTAACAATGATACAGCGTTCTCAGACGTTAACAGTGATACAACGTTCTCAGACGTTAACAATGATACAGCGTTCTCAGACGTTAACAATGATACAACGTTCTCATACGTTAACAATGGTACAGCGTTCTCAGACGTTAACAATGATACAGCGTTCTCAGACGTTAACAATGGTACAGCGTTCTCCATCGTTAACAATGATACAGCGTTCTCCATCGTTAACAATGATACAGTCTTCTCAGACGCTAACAATGATACAGCGTTCTCAGACGTTAACAGTGATACAACGTTCTCAGACGTTAACAATGATACAGCGTTCTCAGACGTTAACAATGATACAGCGTTCTCAGACGTTAACAATGATACAGCGTTCTTAGACGTTAACAATCTATTAGACGTTAACACTGTTACAGCGTTCTCAGACGTAAACAATGATACAACGTTCTCAGAAATTAACAATGATACAGCGTTCTCAGACGTATACAATGATACAACGTTCTCAGACGTATACAATGATACAACGTTCTCAGACGTTAACAATGATACAGCGTTCTCAGACGTATACAATGATACAACGTTCTCAGACGTTAACAATGATACAGTCTTCTCAGACGTTAACAATGATACAGTCTTCTCAGACGTTAACACTGTTACAGCGTTCTCAGACGCTAACAATGACATAACGTTCTCAGACGTAAACAATGCAACAGCGTTTTTAGTCGTTAACAATGATACAGCGTTCTAAAACGTTAAAAATGATACAAGTACAGCGTTCTAAAACGTTACAATGTCGCTAACAATGATACAGTCATCTCAGACGCTTACAATGATACAGCGTTCTCAGACGTTAATGAAGATACAACGTTCTCAGTCGTTAACGAAGATACAACGTTCTCAGACGTGAACGAAGATACAACGTTCTCAGACGTTAACAATGTTACAGCGTTCTCAGACGTTAACAATTATGCAACGTCATCATACGTTAACAAAGATACAACGTTCTCAGATTTTAACAATGGCACAGCGTTCTTATACATTTACAATGCCACAGCGTTGTCAGACGTTAACGACGATACAGCGTTCTCAGACGTTAACAAAGATACAGCGTTCTGAGACGTCAACAAAGATACAGCGTTCTAAAATGTTATTAAGAGTATCGCATTGTTTTCGAAGATCTGAGATTTCAATCATATTGATCAGACAATTTTGAATGTTATAAGCTTTGTTTTTTGCTGGCAACGCATTGAAACTGTGTCAAAGGTAAACACGATATCTTCCCTTGTTCATTTTGCTCTTTGTGTTTATATTTGTTTTATTTATATTCCTTTATGACATCTTTTGATTCAATGTTGGACACTATTTCTTAATCAAGAAAACGACAGCACCATTTGTTTGATATTCTCTTAACATTATTTCAAACTAGTCAGTAATGTTTGGAATAAGATTCATCAGTTTGCTTTGAAAAATAAAGACTAAGTTTGTTTTAGTCTTTAATCAAAAATGCTTTAATGTACTACTGCTTCATCTATCATTGCGAAAAAATCACTTTAAGATCTGCTTTCTGAACCTATATAAAAACATACAGCAGCATAAAATTCGTTTCTTGTTAAGAGTTACTCCCCTTTGCAAGGAATATTACAATTCTCCGATGTTGTTGTTGTTATTGTGCGTGTGTGTGTGTTTTCGTTTTCCTTTAAATTGCTAAACTAAGAATAGTTGTAATTCCCTGAAAATACATTGAAAGATCGGGTTTATCTAGAATAAATCCGAAAACAGACAAATAGTTATTAATGGTCAAAATAGTTGCAATATTTTAGCTATATTTGGAGTTTAGCTCCTTTAAATCCTGTGCTACTATATAACTGCGCTGACGGAGGTTCCTATCTATTCTATTTTGTTATAGTGCGTTAATTCTTATTTTTTTTTAATGATAAGCTTAAATGTGAATCCACGAAAATAAGTACACTAACAGTGTATTAACCCAATCTTTACCTAAATTGTTAATATTGTATCAACTTGTACAACGTAGTGAAATGAAATATTTTGACATATGGGCGGATTGGTCGTGTGGTTAACACTCCGGCCTTCCACGCAGGCAGCCGGGTTCTATTCCCCGAAGTTGTCGTACAGATGGAATATTCAGAGGAAGTTATTTTCGCCTGCCCTCACAACTCCAACTACCCAGGTGGAGATTAAACTGGTCTGGGGCGGATGTTCATGTGAGGTGGCACTATAAATGATGCCGTTGGAAGCACGGTACCACTACAAACAGAACCCACGCAGGCATACAGACATAGGGAGCTATTAGCCAGGTGGCATAGGACTAGAAGTTAGCGCCTTATATGGCAGCTCAGGACTGCGAATTCCTCAAAAAATGAATTGATTAATGTAGATGCTAATTGTATTAATTGTATATCTATGTACTGTAACGCGCGTTAGAGTGGCTTATGCTAGCTAGATAGGGCACTATATCAAATGTTGTATATATAATTTTTTAATTTATTTGTACCTTGTATACTTATAATTAAACGAACAGTGTTCATCGAGGTATTAATTCATTTGATAATAATTAAGGTTACGCATCTTAAATTAACTTGTCTTAAATTAACATATGTAATTGGCTGATTATGTGCTGGCTTTTATATAACATGTCTGACATAGATGATCAAATACTAATACATTTTATTAGTCAAATACGAGCTGTTGTTACCTTATTTTTGTTCTTACAAATTACGTGACATCATGATAGCCACTACGTTGCAATTCAGCATTAGATGTCACTTTATTGATGACTATCTGTTCATAGAAGCTCTTTTCTTTGTAAAGATTAACGCATTGAACAGCAGGTTCTGGGCTTTTGTGATGATAAACAGCAACATTTCACTCGTAGCTTGTTTTTTGTTGTCGTATATTTTGTAAATTGCGATTCTCACTCGTGAAAAAAATATCAGAATATTCTCACGTGAAATATTACTTTATTCATAAAACAACAATATCCATTGAAGCAATGCTATTATATGATATATGATGAAATAGAAGTGTAACTGATTGCCTTTTTGTTTTGGTAAAGGCCATACAACAAATGAACAAAGAGTTCACAGAAGAAAAACAAAAGCAAACCGTCGGGGTAGTTGACTATGAGCAACTGAATGTTGAGTTCATGTCGTTGAACCTTAACTCATTAAAGTCAGTCATGAATTTTGTTGAGACGTACAAGGCGTCCGGGAGAAAGCTACACAAGTTGTACTGTAATGCCGGAATTGGTTTACAAGACAAAGTATGTAAGTACGCTTAATTGTTATGATAATCTTTACTTCGAGGCTTTGTCCTCCAACCACAGGTGCTTGGGTTCTGGAATATATGTGATATATTTAGGTATCGTACCTCACTATAATAATACATTATTGGGTTCTAGAATACATATAATATTATCTGTTTAAGTAACGCACCCAACTGGATATGGCATCCCCAGTATACTTTATGATTTGTTAGTGTAGTGGGGTGCGGTATTCAGTGGGGTGTGTTATACGTTAACAGATAACGTTTAGTAGTGTGTATATATATATACATGAAAGACAAGAGTTTCATCGACTTCCCTAGCGCTTTCTCCTCTTTAGAGGTTCATCGGAGGAATGGTTCATTCACGCTTATATATATATATGTATACATATAAGTGCATAAGTGTTTGATTACATGCTTAATAACTTAAATTGAAATCACAGCACTGTCTTTCAAAATTATTATTGAATAACTCAAACTATGTTGGATGTGCCATTATAAAACTGCCTATTATTAAAATTTTGTTTCAGCATACACAGAAGATGGTCACGAACAGATATTCCAGGTAATCAGGCATGTCTGTTAAATTTCATAACAAAAAAACAAAAAACAAAAAGTCCCTCATAATGTCATTATGCATTTTTTTCTTCCGGACCAATTTGATATATGTAGTTCAATTATCTAGCTTATCGTGGTTTTCTGTATATTGTATACAAAAGGAGACTTAAACATTACAATTTTCTTTTATTCAGGTGAATTATTTGAGTCATTTCTTAATGGTATCTCATCTACTTCCGGTGATGAAATCTTCAGGTCCTGACTGCAGAATAGTTCTATTATCTAGCCTTGCCCATCGATCGGCTCACTTTGATGCTGCAGACATTGAAGGCAAGAAGTATTCTGAACCAAAATACGATTCAACGGAAATATACGGCAGATCAAAAGTGTATATGGTAACTTTTAACAATTTCCGATTCATGATACATGTTGGTTTAAGTTTTAAGTAAGCTGCAACACGGGATAGAGAACCATAATAACATTAGTATTTTGACTAAATCTTTTCGTCGTTACTCAAATTTGTATGAACATTCACAGCAAAGATATAACTATCTTTAATATTAAGATTCATAATGAGAAACAAGTCCAATTTTATACGACTGTGCTTAATGCTGTTTTTTTTTTAGTTTACACACTTTGCGAATTCCACATTCATGGAACATTTTTGCAAGTATTAATATTTTCACAAATATGTTTCAAACGACATATTTATGGGGATATGAATGAGTTTTTATGATTAAGGCCTCCCATTCAAAAGAATTTTTAAACAATCATTATATTTTCCCGAAAGTTATATACCTGTGCCTATACATTCTCGTTAACATTGTCTCACACATACATCTTTGCATAATAATATTGATGAAAAAGTCAAAACATTAAACGAAATATTCATTTGAAAGATCAACTAGAAGTTTTGAATGTTTATGGACAAAAAGGCTCAAACCATACATAGTCCATTACAAATGGTTTAATTCGCGAAAACGATAACGCAAAAGAACGTATCTTGCAATGTCACGATGCTGTAAAGCTCTGATTTGGGGCACCCTCGATACTCCAGGGGTTGCGCTCACTTACGCTCCGCACACCTTGAATTCGTCATTCGATACAAGAAGACTTGTCTGGTCCTTTTATGAACATCAAAAGCATCCCGCGACAGCGTTACCGGAATTTTGACTGGCTTTGACATCTGGAGTCTTGAAAGGACAGGTATCAGCCGAGCGATTGGTCAGTTTCTTTTACCCGAGACCAATGAAATAACTAACTTTGTGCCTTCAATTTAGTCATGACATACTCGAGGGGAACAGAGAGTGTAACTGAGCGTAACACATTGAAATTCGAGCATGGATGTTTCGATTCAAAACAATTACTATGACAAGATGCTATATTTTTTTGTTCAGATTATGCAGATGTTCAGTTTGAATGAAATCCTCAAGGACACTAATGTGACTGTACTATCGTTACATCCGGGCATCGTGAGAACTGTTCTGCTGTCTTCCTTCGGAAGAGGAATAGTGAAACCATTCTTAGCACTTGCAAATGCCTTTGGTAAGAATGTGATTGTTCTTACTATTAAAAATGATTTTATCGATAAGAATAGATTCGTTTACAAAGCTAAATTAAATAAGCACCAATCAGAACAGTACAAGGGAGATAATTCAACAGGCGAACTACACATAAATGATTCACGATAAAACTAATTAAAATTCATATCTTAAAATTATAAAAAAAATACTGTAATTAAGACATTATTCACTGATCTCGGTAACAAACTAATTCTAGTCATGTTGAGTATGTATGTATGTTAAATGTGGAAAGAATGCCAGTTAAAACAACAGTCGTCAGAACATAGATGCACATGCAGATAGGTGCACATGTTACCTTTCTATACAACCTGTTTGCTTCTTTGAGTTTACTTTCAGTTTTCTGAGGAATAATGGAATACGTTTTTGAAAAGAAAATTGTGATCAATCATTTACGTCCTACACTAAAACATCTGTTGTCTATTTGTTTTCTATTTTCTGTTGTGAACTAACACGGAAGTGTTCTTTCCCTACAGTTTGTTATATACACCATGTTTTCTCTTCATTTAATTAACAAAGGTGCGACTAAGAGCCCGTTTGAAGGGGCATGGACTTCGCTCAATGCGGGCGTTAACCCAGAACTAGTTGGTGTACGAGACGTATACTTTTCTGATTCTAAGCCAAAATCCTCCACAGCAGCTTCTAAGTAAGAGTTTCCTTTTACAATTTCATATAACATTATAATTGCTAATTTATACATGTATCATTCTTTTTCTTTCTTTTCTTCTTTTTGTTTCAGAAATGATACAAATCTTAAGTATTAAAGACAAATATATATATCAATGATAATATACCATCTCTACTAGTGTGTACTAATAAGATGTTTTATTCTGCTTCCAGGAACAAGTCCTACCAGGAAGCACTCTGGGCTTACTCCATTGAGTGTCTCAAAGATTACCTCCCAGAAAATATCCTTAGAGAACTACAATAGTACCTTCGTCAGGACTATGTATCATCCTCACAAGTGAAAACAAAGTGGAATTAGGAATGATGCATTTAATAGATGAGCATGTTAAAATTGGAATTTTGATCTGAGATATTTACATTCATATTAATTGAAAGTTTCTGTCATTTTACACATACAACTGAGATATTGTTATCTTCACTATACAATCAATGATATACATATTCAAATTATTCTGAATTAATCACTATACAATCAATGATATACATATTCCAATTATTCTTAATCAAAATGTCTGTGATGTGACAGTAAGATAGCGTATATACTTGATGTTGGTTGCTACAATTTCCACCTTATATGGTGTTAATGTTTATGTGATATCATGTAGTTTTTATGTATCATCGATTATTATACATTATATGTTCTTGTGTCAATCCGATCTGTTCAATATGTATATAAACTGTTATTGTATATTTACAAAGATGAGAGACATTTTTAGTAAGCTATTTGTGTACACAGCTAGTACATCCGATGACATTTTTTGTATGAACACTGTATAAGACTTTTCCTATAACAACTCTTACAAATTACCTATAACAAAGGGGTATAAAGGTATGACCTACTTCGTTCTTTATAAAATATAGATAAAGGGAGACAATTGCATTTGTAAGAGTTGTTACAAATATGCCTAGACATGTTTAGTGTTAACATATATATTGTATACGTATACTGCAACAATAAAAGCAAGATGTGTCAATTATCGTGTTGTCAGCCTCTAAAAGATCCCCATATCGCTGCCACAATACTTAAAGAGAAAAAAAGTGAGCCATGCCTTGCATACTTTTATGAAAAAATTACATGTCCAATATATATCCGATGTAAAATTAAAGGAAGGTAAATAAATGCATGAAAATCGGTAGGGGATTTCTCTAGTGTCTGGCTTGCAGTGGGAAAGAGTTCCTGCTTGCAGTGGGAAAGGGCTTCGAAATGCATCTTATAAGTCATTACCTAGTATAAACGTCCTCGATACTCCAGATTTTACTTCACTTTCGCTCTCTGCACCCTCGAAATATTGGAATATGTCGCACGGTTATAGTCACACAGTCGTAAACATTGGATAGAAATCACAAAAGAGTAATTAAATAACTAGTAGACATTTGTATGTATTCAAAACAGTTGCATTCTCACCAATAAGCCCACGCTCGAGATATTCGAATACAGGCACATTTTGAAATGTAAAGTTGACTAAGAAACCGGATCCATCAAACAAAACGATACATACTTGTGTCACATTAGGGCGGATGTTGACCTTTGGTTATATGTCAATAGGTCCATTTTGAAGGATCGTAAACATACATTTGTCGGTATTTTATCAAGAAACTACTGAACAAAAGATAAGTTTACATGTAACATAAAATAGTGAGAATGATTAACCCCTGCTTATGAAACACAAATAGCCAGAACCTTTCACAGACTCCTAATTTCCGGTTGATAATAAAATCTCCTGAATTGTGACGTATACAAAAGACTAACAAAATAGACCGTGTTTGGTAGTCAAACAACATTTCCGTTTTCCCATCTTGCATGAGGTGAAATGTTTCCATGCATTGCATTTAAAGTATTTCTGAATAATTAAACATAAACAGACGCTATTCAAATTTCAAACGTGTTCTTACAATATTTCTATGATGTGAACTTCCGTAACAAGATTAGGTTATTCATGTTTGTCGAGTAGAAACTATATAATGGTTACATCAAGTTGAAATAGACATTTAACTGTATCACTCTACTATAATAATGACGTATATGCGGCGATCAGCAATCAGTGGTATCTGGACTGGCAATGAACTATTTGCCATGAAGAAAAATGTCGCTGAGGACATCAAATTAAAAAAGACCGTAAATTGTCTATCAATGGATCAATCATATGAAAAGCATGCGGCAGAACGTGATATTCGGGGAACACGAGTCTTCTTGAAAGATGTTCGCTTGTCAACTGGACATAGTAAGGAAGGAGTTGCATCTATAGAGTCTTTCCCCTCATGTAATCACCTGCCTATTTTACCGTATGATGTACCAGATAGACTCCTTCAGAGGTCAGAAAAATCGTTCTCACTTCGGCCAAGAGGATCGGTTATTTACGAAATAAACCAAGCTATCAGTGAGGATACTATGACATCTATCTTTCGTGAAACAACAGTTCCTGCAGTACAAGCGACGCGAATCCACCGACCAAGGGTTTTGACAGCAACTGGAGTCCATAGCGAGGCACCAACAGAACACATAACAAGACGGACGAAGTCAGACGGTATATCACCCAAATACCTGTCGGTCAATGAACGTCCAAGGGAAAATACCAAGTTGTCTTATTTCACTGATGACATAAACGATGATTTTGAAACTGAAAGTGTTGACGAAGAGGAGAAACGAATGCAAGAGTTTCAACGCTTGAATACTCGATACAATCCATGGAACATACAACAACGTAATGGCGTTTTGTACGACGCATTGGAACTACCTCGCATCAGGGACTGTTACAGACCGGTATGTAGGCTATCCTGTAATACTTGCATGTCACGAAAACAAAACGCGCCATGTTTTGTTATTCCCGGAATCACCCATCCAGCTGGTTTTGTTTTGCCACTCAAAAGTGTTCCTAATAGGGTGAAAAGACAAAAAAAGAAAAAGAAATCCAAAATAATCAACACAACCAAAAGTATTGAGAGTACACGGAGCGTGTTAACACGGACCATTAGGGATATAACACAAGACGGACATTACCCTTGTGATGTTACAGAACACGACGAAATTGACGACAAATTCCAGTTACGTGTTCAACAGGAGCTAAAGTTTCTTTTGAAAACAGATAAAAAGATAAATAAGGATCGTTTGAAGGAATTATCAACACCAAGAGAGGGATTCAAAAAGGATGTAAGATTTTCGAAAATGTTGATAAAAAAAGAGGTGAAGAGCTTGACACTTAAAAACGCAGCAGAGGTTGCATCAGCTAATGAGACTGAGAACAAGAGGAAGATAGACAGTCGGGTCAATATGTTTCTGGCTATGCTGAACTCACAGGGAAACCACATACCTACTACCATGGTACATATTCCCCTTAGGGAGGACATTATGCAGGTGGATATATCCCACATTCAAACTGTGGATCTTGATATGCTTAAACACCACAATATAAACACAAGGAGGGTCTAATTTGAGCGAATAAACACTGACATGAGATATCCTTGAATTGACCTCAGGTTTAACTATGCATATGCCTCGGGATTCGTGTTTTCATGTCATTTATGACACAGGAACATAATCTTTTCAGATAGTGAGCCTTTTACACCAAATGGAAAGGATTTATCGTAAATGAAAACTGTATATATTTGAACTGTTTGTACACAGTAAATCAGTATTATAGAACTTATTGTTACTAATGATAGTTTTCAATTTGCATTGGACCAAACAGAGACCTTAATCTTTATGAACAAAACTTCAAGTGTATGCAGCAATTTCTTACAATGACCTTTCTGATTTGATAATTGAATTATGAAAAGAAATCATTGTGCCAGGTCATATTATGTGTTTTGATTTATTTCAAAATATAACAAAAATAATTAATGAAAGGCCACAACAACGGATTGTAACCGATACAGACAGTTAACGACAAGCACACGATTTTGAAATGATATAATGTTATTTTCCACTAAATATTGATCTGATAAAAAAAGAATTGAATAAATTTGAACAATCATCTGAATTAAGAATAATCCTACATTTTAATGAAGTAAGGGGAGTGGGTAGGATGCCGTTTGCGTAGGGGTTTAACCAGTTCATACACAGTGCAGATTTGTAGCATCATGTGACTGTACAATAGAATGGCCTGACAAAGCACATATAAGCGTTTTACTGTATGGCTGGCGTAGTTTGTATACTTAATATATTACAAGACATGTTTGTATAGTAATGATATCCCTTCTAACCTAATAGATCTGTCACAGCATCAAAGACACCAGGTTTAAAGTAACATATAATGCAAACATTGTGTGGGCTATTGTATATCAATTTATAGTGAGGAAATCGACCTCATTATACGTTTTTGCATTCAGGTTATATATAACTTGTAATTATCACGATAAGGGCAAAATTCATGTAAAAATTAAAGTAGAAATTAAAACTTCTTTATCACTGTGATGGGCATGCTTTGTAAATGTAAAATTCTCTTTAAGGATCTCCGTTCAACTACCAGAACTATTACCTATCCATTGAAATTGTGTTTTTTGGTAAGCATTGGTAAAACATTTCTTGAAACAAAGCCCATAAATAATTATGTGGAGTTTTATGAAAATTTGATGAAGATGAAATTTAACAGAGTAGTGTTCAACACTGTTTTGTGTAAAAGTACAATGCGGCTGGACAAGCATTCGAACCCTGCACCTCATATCATAATACTGTCGTTCTAACAAACTGAGCTATCTAGTCAACGGAAATATTCTGGCCTAGGCGCGCTACTGTAATATCAAAAAAGGTAACTGTGTACTCAGAAATCTACAGTGGAATTAGTGATCCTTAACGTACCTACTCGGATTCAAATCAAATTATTGATATTCAAATGTCATGTTAAGTATTTCTGCTTTCCTTGTTATCATGCCGTTTCGTTCCAATACATTTAGTGTTACCGATTTTGATGCATTTAATCATAAAAAATCATTTTGGAGCAAGTTATTTTTGAATGTAGTTCAATATCTGCCTACAACGTATACCATGATGCCAATTGAACATTCTAACAAAAAAATCACATGCATTCGTAAAGACACTATCCAATGATGCTTCTGAGTTATAGAAATTGTTCACTGATTATATGGCCTGCTGAACTCATGAAATGGACAAAACGATAGCAGCTCTTACTTATAGTGTTATTTTCATAAATGCTAAAATTTATCTGTGCAACCATGTAAGAACCTCATATACGTAGTCAAAATGAAAAAGGAGTTCATGTGTTGCATACACAAATCGTGTTGTAATTCATTTGATCACATCTAACCGATTCCCATTACCATTTGTGCTGAAAATTTAGTCGGTACAAACGAATTGATATTTTTTTTTTATTTCAATTGACTAACAAACCAGAAAATTGTAATTGCTTTCTTTTATTCAATCTTCAGCCGACCACATCTTTACAAACATAGTAAATATTTACTCAGGATAAAGCATGATATTTAAACTATCAAAGTCAGTAACAGTAAGAGTAAATATAAAATGTCACAATTGGCCGTGTAAATCATATTGGCAAACACTTTATCTACGTCAATGCGTTGAATGGAATAATCCAGAGATTGTTTATTTAACCTTATAAGTATTCAGGGACATTATTATACATGTTAACATACACTTTTATACAAACATCAATTAAAATCGCAAGCAGTTGATATTTTGATTCACTGGGTGGGTAGCATTTCTTCTATATCATAAACCAGTGTATTTACATCGTCTAATGAGGAAAAAGACTTGGGCTTTTTTAGTCGTGTTCCTAATCTACAAACAGCGTAATAATTGTAAGAATACAGGTTTGTGCAAATATACGTTAAGAATATAACCAGCTGATATTTCTGAAGGGGATATGGCTTAGAATAGGAACAACAATTCACTAATTAATTCCTTTCAAAATGTAAGCTCTTTTTGGCTTGTAGATTTTTAAGATTACAATAGAAATATCCACCAAGAAATGAAGGTCAGTCGAATAAAATGTAGATATACCAAGTATATCTCACCTATTATATGTAGTTAACAGCCACCCAGGTCGAGCTACTATAGGTTAAGTGGCTATTTGAATCAATTTTAATGTATCTTAAATTGGACTTATTCCAATACTTTTGAAAGTCACATTATTATGTTCAAACATATATATTATGACAACAGACAAACGTTTTACATATGTTTTTGTACACTGTCATATGTGATTTTCATATCTTAACGATATTTTTATGTTAATGTCCGTACAACATTATATATTTACGTATACATCATTATGCTTGTAAAATTTGTGAAAAACATTAAGCTGTGTGAAACATTGATAAAACGATGTTAATGTATTTTCTTTTACCAGTCGAATCAGCATGTAAATCAATATATTGTGCAAAAATAATTTGTTTCCTCAACCTACAATCACATATGATCTAGTTCCATCTTTTCATCGCCTAAGCCTATTAGCTACCAACAGTGGGAGATATAAATCCCGTAAATAAAACATCTTACGGTACACTAACAATGCACGACTCGTACATGGTTCAATAACTATAAGGATGTTGCTATTCATTGTATAGAAAAAAACCGATAATTCAACAAGACATGAAAGGGACCTTTAGTGCAAATACAACAATACACTATCGATCAGATACATACAAAAGCAAAACCATGACATACATTAGAATATCCTTTCATCGGGTGCAGCAGTCTTGTCGTGTAGGGTTGAATATATCCAGCGTCTGGGAAAAGTGGTGAACCATTTTATTTTAACTGTAATCTATGTAATCCTCTCATTCTATTCTCGCCTCCATGATTTCAATGAGAAATTGAAAAATAGAACATAAAAGGAGTTGATGAATCAAATGTATGCGACATCAAAACGAGAAAATAAGTTTACAGCCTGATGATGCCTAGTTTACGTCTAGCCTCCTGTATTATAATCGCCCTTCTATTTTCGACGTGCTGTTGTTTCGCTAACATTGCTTGTGATATTCTCACATTTTCCAATCCCTTTTTAATATACTCTGGTAAGGGGTGTTTTTTATTGAACGATTCCTGCGAACGACAAAATCGACTGATTCTGCTCTGTATCCCGTTGTCATGGGCGCTGCATAGAAACCCGTTACTTGCTGTAGTAGATTTATCCCCGTCCGTTCCACCGCTATGTAATAACTCTCTCATTTTCGGAATTTCAGAACAGTACTCGGTCTCTAAGAGATGCATAAATGTCTTTACTTGTCGATCAGAGAAGGAATACCGACTGTGATCACCGGGGTACGGGGCACCATCCTCTGACTCTAGTTCTCCAATATGATCCTCGTACATCTGTATAAGCTTCTTCATATACTCACACGTACTGCACGTTCTCTCCCTCCGACGCCGTGCTTCGTCCTCCCCTTCTTCCTTCGGATCTTTTGGTCGCTTTTGGAAAAAAGAAACATAAGCCGGAGATGATTTTGGTCTCTGGTTTTTAGGTTTCTCATATGCTACATCCCTTGCTGGGTTGGATTTCGGAGTTAATCTGTCAAACACTCTCGCAGATTTTGCTCTGAACGAGTGCGTTGATTGTGTCCACTGTTTTTCGCGTGATCGTTGTTCTCTTTGCACGCGTGATTTGTAATTTTCTAATTTACATTCCTCTGTCCTGTTGAGTTTCTGGGCCTTGAACTCACTTTCTGTTTGACAGAGTTGTGTCTTGTATCCAATGCAGTTGTTTGCAGGGTATCCATCCAAAGATATACCCGTGTCTGTCGTCATAATAGATAACGGTTTCGGTGGGTATTGAGCACCGATGTCATGAATATCTGGTTTTTGTTGAGCGCCAGTGTCTTTCCTACGGTTCCCTGATCTTATGCTTGCATAAATACTAGATGTGGTGCTAAGAACTCTAAAATTTTTTGAAGTTGCGTATGTGCTGAAACCAGTTCCATTAGACAAACACTGATCATCATTAGATCCCACCTCAAATTGCCTGTTGCCAGCACCTTCCGTTCTCGGCCTTGGAATGTTTCCTTTCCTTAGTTTAAGTTGACTGCGAGCAATTTTCGCTTGATTAACCGCCATGTTTTATTTTTTCCAGAGATCACGTTTGTATGTATCACTCTTACAGTTGATATTTGTTTAATATTAGCTGATGTTGTTGAAACTCATTCTGTGATTAATGGCAATATAACATGCATTGCTCTAAACAAAATGTCCAAGAAGCATGATCAATCTAATACTGTCTTATCTCACATAACCTACTTCACGAAGTGTCAACTAGGGATAACAGTTGACGCCATTATCATCCGTGATACTGTAACAAATAAGTAAAGAATGTTCGATATTCCTTGATTTGCAAACAATACACAGTACGTCCTGTTCACCTGACAGCGCGACACAGTTCTGTCACAATGATCTCACTAACGCTGGTGTTCTTCAGTCGTTTCCATGTCCATCAGTCATAAAAACTGATAAATGATGAAAATATTTGACTTATGGATTTAACACTGAACAACGTGCTGGACCCTCGGTGTCGATTATTTAGACAAGTGGGATTATGTCGTGCAAACACCTACAGTGATTTGTTTGCGTGCGTGAGGGGACTGGGTCTTATAGCCCTCGGTATGACAGCGACAATAATAAACACAAAATTTAATAATGGGAAAATCGGCAGCTTAAATGTATCCCATGTCTTACGAGTGTGTAGCGGAAACATTCTTCCTCTTTATTGATAGATCAATTATGGCTGGGAGAAGGGCGGGTATTTAACACCAATACAGAAATTGAGAAAATACAAGAGCTGTCCAAGTATTTATTCAGCCAAAATAATCCCTCTTACTTAAATAAACAGATGTGATTTATCTGTTGTTTGATAAAAGCGTTACTGTATGTGCCCTTTCGACAACAGTGTCGAAACAACCCGCTAAAATCACAAATGTGAATGGGAAAGTGATTTAAAGAATACTTTCAATTTCCATACAATGGTATTTATTCATGCGAGTTAATCTGACAAATAAATTATAATTCTGCATCTCTTTACCTGTACAATATACGTCGCACAAAAACCAATATATGTGCAGGTTATGTGTGTCTGACACTGTACCTGGATTGAGCGGACGACGCCATAGCAGACACAGCTAGGTACATTGTTCGGTGACTAAACTGGGTGTACAGGCTCTTCAAACGGTGAACGTCTTTTAAAGTTAACGACTTGTAGATTAACGAAAATCGAAAATATATTTAGTTCATGTTTGTAATTGTGAAATCGTGATAATTGTTGATAATAGCAAGAAAATCATAGGTGGCAGACACCATGCTATACTCATATTAATCATTTTGACTGGCATCGTCAACCTGCGCCTCTCTAAACCCAAATATGGCTAAATAACTTTATCATAAATGAAAGATTTATAAAGCACATGGATATGAAAACGCTGAACGTGATTTGAAAGGTGATTCCATCTTGTATGGCAAGCCAAGTTGTCATTTATTCATGGAGCAATGTTGATCCAGTACTTAACCAAATTATATAATATATCTTATATAATTATAAGTATAATTATATAAAATATCTTTAATACTTAATGAAATATCTTATATACTTTATAAGATATCCTATATAATAAATGAGATATCTTATATACTTAATAAGATATCTTATATACTTTATAAGATATCTCATAAAAGATATAAGATATCTTATATATTATATAAGATATCTCATAAAAGATATAAGATATCTTATAAAAAGAATTAAATGAGATATCTTATATCTTTTATAAGATATCTTATAAACAAAATTAAATGAGATATCTTGTATAATTCGGTTATCAGATATCTTATAAAGAACGAGATTTTAATTTGAGATGATAAACCCTCCCCCACAGCGCTCGGAACCTATCGATAACCGAGGGGGTCAGAGAGGATTTGATCGAAAATGGCAGCCGATGCGTATAGTTAAATATCAAATACATGTAGTTTATTTTACAGTCAAATAGGAAAATTCACAATCATTAAGTTTTTAATCAAATTTAGTATGAGCCGATCAGGTTGTAAAAAAAGTATTATATTGTTTGTGTATAAAAAAATCAGGTCTTGAGTCCATATACGCAAGATGGATACATGTACATGTCAGCAGAATGACTGTACTAAACGATATTTCGTACGTCGCAGAATATCGGACAACTTGGTATAAAAAAACTTCATTTACCAATATTCGATAACTCTAAATAATGGAACCATAATATAAAGTTTTGTGTAATGCCGTTGACAATACACATCTGTGTGTGTATTCCGTCTTTGCGTATTGCAGAGTTATCTTCTCTTGAGAGCAGGTATTGATTGTTACGTCATTGGTTTGTGTGAGAAAATTACGTCGTTTTCTCAAAAATTGATGACCTTACTCTCAAAAACAAATGACGTAACAATCAATAACTGCTCTCAAGAGCAGATAACTCTGCAATACGCAAAGACGGAATAGATGGTCTACATTTTACATTAACATTTACTGAATGTAAATATCTAATTTCTGCATTTTCATTTTTGTTTTTTGAATCTGCAATTTTGCTTTATCATGTTGTCATTTGATGATTAAGAATGAAAATGAAAAAGGCGCCACGTGACAAGAGATGGTAGCGGTTTAAATTCGTGTAGCGGAACTGGACTGGGTCGATCGTCGGCGACCAGATTGCTTTATTGGTAGAGCGTCCGTCTAGAGTTCGGAGGGTCCCGGGTTCGAACCCAGGTCTGGCCGTGCATTTTTCCTTTCCTGTAACAGTGGTGCCTGTGACCAGCCCTTGTTTCAAGCATTTGGTGTATGCTTGACAAGGGGATACCCGAACCTGGGTTGTAAATAGTTGAGTCTTCGGGGGCAAAGACTTAGAAAAAGGAGGGAGGAATGTAGCGGAACTGGACTGGATCGATCGTCGACGACAAGATAGCTAAATTGGTAGAGCGTCCGTCTAGAGTTGGGAGGGTTCCGGGTTCAAACCCAAGTCTGGCTGTGCATTTTTCCTCTCCTGTTACATTGGTATACCTAATACAATCGGCTAACGTCCACTTTAACATTACATACCGTGATATACCGTAACACATATAGTCATTATGATACGAATTAAACCATGGTCCATGCTACATTGCATAGGGATACATGTACATGTCTATTCCATTGAATTATATAATGTTCCAGCGGTTTTCAATACCAAATTGAACCTCTGTGTGCGATGCACTATCGTCTAAAATATTAATGCTTATTCTAAAACTATTATCAGGTGGTAACCCTATTTTATTCAATGAATCAAAAAGTATACAATATAATTTTATTAAGCGTTCGCCTCTAGGTAGCACCTATTTCATATTATTAATTGTTTGTGTTGTTATAATTACCTAGTCATTAATACGGTAATATTACTTTTAAATGACATGTTTACTATTGTGCAAATGTTGATGACACACGATTTATGTCTGTTCTGAGGTTAAGAGATCGCGATTATTTTGGTACTATGGAGTAGAAAGATACACGAATCAGACAAACATATGTGTACTAAATTACTTTCAAGATTGGCTGATTGGCATGAATTACTGGATGAATGATTCTTGCATTCAAAGCTATGATACTAGATGAATTGTACTGTTTTTTGTTATGTCATGCTAGGAGGTTTGGTACATATTTTCTATTTATCAGGTTTCCAACTTTTAATACATTTACATAGGAGGTACGGTAGTCTAGTTGTAGGACGCCGGGCTCATGACCAAAGGGTTGCGGGTTCAGGTCACGGCACGGCACTGTGTTGTATCTTTGAACAAGATACTTTACTCCGCTTGTTCCAGTCTACTCAGCTGTAAATGAGTACGTGGTTGGACAGTGATTGAATTGTAGAATCTGAGCTGTTAGCGCCGAAAACGCAGCTCCGGCTGTATGCTCTCCAGGGAGTTGAGAAAGGTATTGGCTGGTTGAAAAGGACCTATAACCACGGATAATAATTTGTGAACCGCTTTGAGACGACCTACGAACTAGATTGTGATAAAGCGGCATATAAGAACCTCGAGTTATTATTATTATTATTTATGTAGACAAGGTGACATCTGTATAGATCCATTTAAATGTGAACTGGCACGTATCCATCTGATAGTATCTAATCAAATAACATCTGGTAATTATTCAATACTAACATAGGGCTGTGTACAGGTGTTCAAAATGGAGAGTTATCTCCCCTAGATTGTAATCTGGACAAACTCTATTACAGTTATAACTTTTTGTTAATATCTATGACCATTTGTTTGTTTGATTTTTGTTTTGTTATTTTATTTTGTTATTTTCGGGTAATAGTATGTGAAAAGAAATAAAAGAAAAAAAGTTGTTCCCCTTTATAGACAGATGGTTGAAATGTGTCCTGATATTTACCCTGATCTGAATTCCAGTTATAAGATTTGATTGACTGCATGAGTTAAACAAGTTAATTTCAAGACAGTTCACATTTCTGTCCTTGTTGATAACACACCAGTCGTGGTTCAATACTACCTGTTGATGCGTCATGCTTACAAATGAATTACATAATCAGGTAGTCTGGTAGTCTACTGGAAAAACCCTCCATCTAAACGTCGTATCTGTTACGCTCATCGTCAAACCTGAATTCTAACTAAATATATTTATAAGTCATCCGTGATTATTTAAATATATACGATCAGTATACGATCACTGTCTCAGGACATGGTTTCTTAACTCATTCACCCCTGAATACATATTTAAACTCTTCCAATTCAAAGGTTGGAACAGTTCTTTATGAAATTTCAGGGATGAATGAGTTAAATGAAAGTGTGCTATCCACTCCGCCACCCGACTTCACACATGCTTTCCTTCACGTGATAGAAGACATCAGATGGTCTAACATATGAATTCTATCTGATCTTGCTTTTCATGTCTGCTGGTGATTTTCAAATAAATTTCGTTTCATGTCGGGGTCTCACTCAATTTTCGTTTGTTTTATTTTTGTGAGAGAAATTTGAGTTTGCGACTATTGAATTCTGCGTTGACACTGTTGCTTAATTTACATTTATTACGTACCTATTGAATATGACCAGAG